TCCTGATAAGTACTAAAAGGTAAAACTTCACCACTAAGATTTACTAAAATCCTATTAATTGCCAACAGTTGCGTGGTCTGATCATAGAGTCCTCGACTCTTTTAGTTCCATTGAGTAAAGTTTAAATCCTGAAGTATTTAAAAAACTACTGTTCATCTTTAGCTGTAGGCATGTAAACATATAGTATATATCTTTTGCAACACTGTAAATATCTTTCTTTCATTCTTGCAACTATCCATTTCCATCATGGATGCAGTAAAGTAGAAAATCCTCTGTCCGATTACCAAATGCTCTGCCGAAGGCATGAGTTTTAGAGGTTGCATATTTCTTGCATGCTTATATGTTGGGTTCTTGGCAGAGCAGGTTTCTAAATGGATGAGTAGCAATAACCTCAAATTTTCATCTAGTGGCTGTGCTGTGCAGTTGGATCTAATTGGTAGAGTTTGTTGGTTTACAGAGGCAAAAAAAAAAAACTAGTGAGAATGAACAATAAGAATATGAAAATGAAAATGTTATACAACTTCTTCATTCGATGTAACTTCCTTAAATACAAAAGATTTTAACCTAAAACCAGAATAACTGCTAGTCACAAGGCATGATCTTCCTATTTGCAAATCATAAACAAAAACCACTAACACCACAATTAACTTTCATTAACCACTAACATACATCTAACTTTGATAAACCACTAACAAACATCTAACTTTCATAAACCACTAATACACATCTAATTTTTTACCACACATTAGCAACCCATGTCCGCATAATGTAGCTGATGAGGCATTCTTGCAACATTCCTCATTGCCTCAATAGCTTTAAAGACATAGTTTACTGTTTAAATTTTTCCTTCTGATTCATTAGGGTATTTGTGCATTTGCAATCCTCGATATGAAATTTCTTAAGTATTTCCCTTATATATTTTTTTGACATATAAAGACTCCATCCTAATTTTGCTTCACCTTCATTCCCAAAAAATAGGACATCAAACCAAGGTTTGTCATCTCAAATACTTTGAGCATTTTGGCCTTAAACTCCTTTATTAGCTCCTCATCACTTCCTATCACAAGCATGTCATCAACGTATATAGAAACTATGATCAAATTAGCATCAGTTTCTTTTTCATACAACGTAGCTTCACTTAGGCTTTTAACAAAACCAAGACTTAGCAGGTGTTCATCAATCCTGCTGTACCAAGCCTTGGGAGCTTGTTTAAGGCCATACAAGGCCTTCTTTAACAAGTGGACCTTTTCCTCTTATCCCTTGACTTGGAAACCGTCTGGCTGCTCGACAAAGATCTCCTCTTGTAAATAACCATTTAAATATGTAGATTTTATATCTAGCTAGTAAACTTTCCATCCCTTTTATGTTGTCAAGGAAAATAGCATTCTGATTGTATCAAGTCGTGCTATTAGAGCAAAAGTCTCAAAGAAATCTACTCCAAACATTTAATCATACCCTTTCACAACTAATCTGTCTTTATATTTGTTTACAAAACCATCTACATTAAGTTTGGTTCTGTAACCCATTTGACACCTATAGGTTTTTTATGTTGAGGTCTATCCACTAGCTCCTAAGTGTCATTCTTTTCAATCGTTTTAAGCTCCCCTTCATTGCTTTAATCCACTTGTCATCCTTCTTTGCCCTTTTAAACTCTGCAAGCTAAAAAATAGCAACTTTGTAGCTTTTATAAATATCAAGTAATGGCCTTGTACCTCTGACTGGTACTTCACCTATGTCATCCTTAGGATTTTGCTAAAACTTTGAGTGTTGCTCATTTTCTGACTCTTTCCAATTCCATTATCTATCCTTTATGAACTTAACATCTTTGCTCACAAGAATTTTTTCATTTTGTGGTTGAAAAATTTTATAAGCCTTGGATGAGCTACTGTATCCAATAAAGACTCTTAGTTCTGCCTTTTTGTCTAGTTTGTCTCTTTATACCTATGGCATATAAGAAAAACATAGGCAACCAAAGGTTCCTAAATGCTGTAAGTCTCGTTTATAACCAAACCACGCTTCAAATGGAGTTCTCTTCTACAGAACTTTTGTTGGTAGTTGGTTTAATAGAAAGACTAATATGTTGCAACTTCTGCCCATAATTTCTTTGGTAGCTCCTTGTCATATAGTATACACCTTGTCATCTCCATTATGGTTCTACTTTTCCTTTCACTTACTTCATTTAACTGTAAAGTATAGAGTGCCGTAAGTTGGTGCTTAATACCAACTTCTTCACAAAATTTGTTAAACCTATCGAAGTATATTCCTTTCCATTGTCTAACCTTATTACCTATATTCTACAACCACTTTGATTCTTCACCTATACTTTAAATTTCCAAAATATATCAACAACCTCATATTTGAATTTAAGAAAATAAATCCAACAAAATCTAGTATAATCATCAATAAATACAATATAGTATTTACTGTCATTTAAAGATGATATTTTTTTAGGTCCTCCTACATCTATGTGAACTAGTTTAAGCTTGTGTGTTGCTTTCCATACAGTTTGAGGAATAGAACTTCTGACTTGCTTGCCATATTGACAAGCCTCACAATTTACCATCTTTTCTTCTAGCAATGGTACTCTTTTCACCAGATCATGTTTTTGCATATAAAGAAGTCCCGTATGATGGAAATGCCCATGCCTCCTATGCCATAATTTTGCATTACTTGTGTTATATGAAAAGGCTATATGCTCTTCTTCCATTAGATTCAGAGCAAAGTTTTTTTCTCTCATTTTTATCTTAAATGTATTTATGCCTTTTGCATATTTAATCTTACACCATTTGTCTTTGAATAATATTTTGAAACCCTTTTCAAGCAGTTGTTTAACACTAAGCAGGTTTTGATCAATGTCAGGCACATATAAAACATTAATAATGCATTTCAATCCTGTTAGGCTCTTTAGACCACTGTTCATTTGCCCTTAACTGTGATGTATTCACCATTTTCAATCCTGACTTTAGAAATGTCAGTTTTATCAAGTTCTTTAAAAAGTTCTTGATCATTTGTCATATGATTTGTACAACCACTATTAATAAGCCAAGAGTCACTAGAACTGCTATTCGTTGCAAAGCATGTTGCAACAAACAACTGCTTCTCCTGATATTGTTCAGTAGTGACATTTGCTTCCTCTCTATGCTTATGTGACTTGTAAATATTTCTCATATGCCCAATCTGAGCATATTTTTTGTATTGAATAGCTAGCCTCCACTAGCACTTCTTCTGTGGATGATTGGTCTTCTTACAGTGCGAGCAAGGTGGATAAGTTCCATTCTTGCTTTTGTTGTTGCCTGCATTGTTGTCAGTTTTATTTTTGTTTTACTTCCTATTGTTCCTTTTTTCTTTACCTCATCTTGAATTCTGTGCCTTCGCTTGAAAAACACCTTTCATAGAATTCTCTTGTCTCATCATCTTTCTTTGTTTTCGTGCCTGCAATGCATTCACCAACTCTACCAAGGAAATGCTTGATATATCCTTTGACTCTTCTAAAAAAAAAATTTTAGCTTCACATTTCTCAAGTAATGTAACCAGAACTTTTTGCACAATTCTCTCATCAGAAAAATCCTTACCAAATAGTCTCACCTTGTTCACAATTACTAAGCAGCTTGTCAGAATACTCTTTGATGAATTTTGATTCTTTCATTCTTTGCATCTCGAATTCTTTGATCAAATTCAGCACTTGCATGTTTTTTGTCCTCTCATTGCCTTGGTATTCTTTCTTAACATACTCTTAGATCTCTTTGGCTAATTGTAGGTTCATGATTCTAGTGAATATTGTGCTTAAAACTGCAAAATATAAGCAAGCTCTTACTTTTGACTTTCTAGTCATTTTCTCCTTATGATTCTTGAGCTGAGCAACTATTGGATTAGCAGGCAATGTAGGAACTTTATAGTCATCCTCCATTGCTTCCCACATATCCAAAGCATCCAAATATACTGCCATTCTAATAGCCCAAGCTTGATAGTTGTTACCATTAAAGACTGGTGGTTCAATTGAGAATGTCTTATCTGACTCCATTTGACTAAGGGTTTTATGTGTTGTTATGTTTGTGTAGAGGATTTTTATTTGTAATATTTTTTTTTGGTTCACCCAACTCACAGATTGCTCAAGAAGCTTGGCTTTAATGCCAATTTTGTTGGTTTATGAAAACAAAAAAAAAAAAAAAAACTTGTGAGAATGAACAATGAGAATATGAAACTAAAAATGTTGTACTACTTATTCATTCGATGCAACTTCCTTAAATACAAAAGGATTTTAACATAAAGCTAGAATGACTACTAGTCACAAGGCATGATCTTACTATTTTCAAGCCATAAACAAAAACCACTAACACACAACTAACTTTCATAAACCACTAACACACATCTAACTTCCATAAACCACTAACAAACATCTAACTTTCATAAACCACCAACACACATCTAATTTTTCATCACACATTAACAGCCCATGTCTACATGATGCAGCTGATGAGGCTTTCTTGCAACAGAGTTCATGGCCAAAGGTCATCAGAAAACTTCTTTTGTAGCATGAAAGACCAAGATAAAACTGTCCACACCTACGATGCTCTTTTAAATTGCAATGTTCGAGAAGGCCTTATCAATGAGTCCCTTTCCCATATGAAGAATATAAGGGAGATGAGTTTTCTTTCCTCTCCTCTCAACTATAATAACCTCACGTGCCTCTACACCAACGTAGGTCAACTGGAAAAAGTACCTGACGTTTTGTTGGAGATGAAGATGAATGGTGTCTCCCCTCACATATTCAGCTACAGAATTTCTATAAATTCTTATGGGGAAAGAGCTGATTATAACAGCATGGGGGAGGTTCTACAAGAAATGGAAAGCCAACAGAACATTCCAATGGATTGGGTACTTATTCCGTAGTGGCAAACCACTACATAAAAGCAGGTCTTAATGAAAAGGCACTTCATAATTTGAAGGAATGTGAGAAGAAAGTAGTCAAAAATGCAATAGGCTATGAACGTTTGATATCAATGTATGCTAGTTTAGGAAACTTAGATGAAATGAAATTGTTGTGGGGCCTTCAAAAGGCCAAATGTAAGAAGCACACCAACATAAACTACATATGGATGCTGGGTTCATTGGTGAAGCTTGGCGAGCTTGAAGAAAGTGAAAAGTTGCTTAAAGAGTGGGAGTCATCTTGTAAGAATTATGATTTCGGAGTGCCAAATGTTCCTCTTATTGGATATTGTCAGAAAGGTTTTGTGGAAAAGACCGAAGCAATGCTACAGGATATAATCAAGAGAAGGAAGACAGCAATTCCGAACAGTTGGTCTATTGTTGCAGCTGGATATGTGAATAAGAACAACATTGAGAAGGCTTTTGAGTGCTTTAAAGAAGCTCTTGCTCTGCTGGCAGAAAATAAAGATTGGAGGCCAAAAACAAGTTTAATATCTAGCATATTGAGATGGGTAGGTGACAATGCAGAAGTTGAAGATGCAGAAGCTTTTGTGAAATTATAGAGAACTAAGGTTCCAACAAATAGAGATATGTACCATGCTCTCTTGAAGGCATTTATCAGAAATGGCAAAGAAGTAGAGGGGCTTTTGGAGTGCATGAGGGACGATAAAATAGATGAAGATGAGGAAACAATGAAGATCCTTAGCCTTGGAGAGCAGAAACCTTAAATGATTTTTAATACGGCTGTATTCCATAAATGGTGGAGTTGCTAATAACCACTTAAGTATCGGTGTTGGTTGGTATAGAATCTTTTAGCAGTCAATCTGATCAAATGATGATCTGTTACTGGAACTTGCTACGTTGAAAGTTTTGTAACGATCATTTTGTTCTTCCTCATTGTTAATATGTTTATTTCTTATCTCTATGAGGAACCCGCTCTGAAATTATGTGTAGATTTATTGACTTGTCTTTATCCCATTTTGCTTATTGGATTTAATAACAAGTGGGACAGCTTGTTCCAGTTTAATCATCCTAGTAATTTAAAAACAAGTGGGATATAAAAAAGGAAAAGAAAGTGACACATTGCTCCACTTTCAAAGACGGTGAAAAAGAAACAAGTGATATTACTTATAAAAAAGCAGTTGAAGATTCATGTGATATTCACTCAAAGAAAAAAATGACGAGGGTGGGATTTAGGAAGAAGAAAAGCAAGTGCCAAGGAAAATGCAAGGGAAAAAAACAAGAGAAATAAGAGTCAATTATTATGGTCTTGGTGCCACGTTCATGGTGGGTGCCAGTGGAAAAAGAATCTTCATGCAGCTATTTTGTTTTAGTGGAGGCCAATTCGTGAGCTTCTGTAGACTTAAAAGTACAAAAATCTTTATAGGAAATAAACTGAAGGTCAATCAATCAATTTTTCTCATTGTGATTACTGATCCAATCCATATTGATGCAGTTCAATAGAACTCGTTTCCCAGCGTCATCTAGTAATAATGTTTTACCTACTCCTCCCAATCCCCGAATACCATCATCCATCAAATATGCACAAATTTCTTTCATAAGGTTCTTTCCAACTTCAGCAATTAATTTTGAAATGAAATATCTATACTGCAAAGGAAACATAACCAACAGCTTTGCAGCAGAATTAGGGGTAACAGAATCTGGCCAACAATCAAATCCAGAGCATTTAGTTTTCGATGATTAATAAGAGAAAGTCATGACATGTTTTTGTAACAGACATGAAACAAAGTACATAGCCAACAAATATTACACTAGAAAACAGAGGTAATTCTGAAGTTGGTGAAGATGATTTAAGCGAATTGAGAGGAACTTTGGTGTTCAGCAAAGGAGTGAAATTTACTATTCTACTTCAATCTTACAGTGAGCAATCGCCATTTCTAATCCTCGAGTAGGTAATGTATCTAGGAAAGATAAGAACAAAAAAAACATGAATTAGAGTTATATATAATAACAATATAAAGCAAAAAAGAAAATATTAATCCTCAAGTTTGTTCTTGAAGAAATTATTTCTAGCTTAATGCATAATTCTTTAAAATCATGGTGAAAATCAAGATAACCTTTCATCTTTATTTCAAAATGTGCTTTACTTGTTTATATGAATTTCAACAAAGAATTATCTTTAAAGGTTTTGAATTTCAACAAAGCATTTTAAGGAATTGCCATAAAGAACTTGATTAAAGTTTTTGTGAAAAAAGAATTAGTTTTTTCAAGATGATCCAGAACAGAATTCAATCCAAATATGAGCAATTGAAGAATATGACCAAAATTCCACAAACCTTGTAAACATCAACGAGAAAGCAGAAACATATCAGACTTGAAAAGAACATGCATCAAGAGAGTTCCAAACATCAAAGTGTGTGAGCTGTTGCTGTTGCTACTGCTGCGAAATAATCATGACAAATAATCCTCGGTGTGCTGGAAAGATCTCTAAGAAAACTGGAAAGGTCAATAATGAGATTAACATATAAGAAAGTGAAAATAGAAAGAAAGAAAGAAAGAAAGTGTGAGAAATATACTACCGTTATGATAAGGCATTTGATCAAAGAAACATAGACTGCTGTAGTGGTCAGGCATTTCTACGAACAGGCAACTATCAGTTCCAACTTGTGAAAGTAGGGCTCCAACAGAGACTTGGCATGTGGATGGTCCCACTCCACCGATTCCCACCACTTTGTATTTGCTTGAATTCTTCTAAGAGAGGAAGGAGGAGATGGTTGGCCATCATCTTGCAAGGGAAGATGCAGAGGTATCCTCTTTAATTCTGGACAATCACTTATTTCAATCAGCTCAATAGAATCACAAACCATTACTCCATTTGCACCACAAATGCTCTTCAATTTTGGTAGATCCCACAATTCCAATTTCTTTAATCTTGGAAATGTAAGTTTGATGGCAACGCCATTTCCTGCTCCCTCCACTTCTGATTCTGATGCTATTATTTCTTCCATATCCCAACATAGACCAACACCTAAAGTATTCAAATTTTGGAGGTTATGCAGCACCCAATTGGACGAGAACAACTTCTTTATATTTTCACAACCATGTATATCAATCCGAGAAAGAGAGGAAAAATTGTTATGTGGCATTGGGATAAACCATGAGAATAATGACTCTTCTTCACACAAATCCACAGAGCATTCCCTAATATTCAAAACCTCAACATCAGATAGGATCTTAATACCAATTGTACAGATCATGTCACAACCACGAAATTCAATTACTTTTTTCGAATCCCCGAAATAGTCATTCCATTTGAATTGATGACCCACATAAATGATGTATTGATGAGGCCATATTGCTCGAGCATGCAAACCTTGGGCACAACTGTTCCACTCATTCCAGTCAAGTAAACACCCTTCAAATAATTCCAACTTCCTCAATCCACCTATTTCCTCTCCTCTCACGAAAAATTTATGACCAGAATCAGCTTCATATGCAGCTAAGTGCTGAAGGGATGTCAATTTTGCCAATATTCCATCGGCCATCTCTGTTATTTGCGTGTTACTCAAATCAAGATATTTGAGATTTACCAACCTTTCCATCCCATGAGGTATATGCTTGATAGTTGTTCTTCTAAGGTCTAACTTTTTTAAAGCTTGAAGTTTGGAAAAAGATGGCACCTCTGTTATTTGCGTGTTACTCAAATCAAGATATTTGAGATTTACCAACCTTTCCATCCCATGAGGTATATGCTTGATAGTTGTTCTACTAAGGTCTAACTTTTTTAAAGCTTGAAGTTTGGAAAAAGATGGCACCTTCTCTAATTGCTCACACCAACCAAGCAATAATGTAGTAAGAGTTTCCAAATTACAGATGGAATTTGGTAAACTCTTAATAGAATTCCAAGAAAGATCAAGAATCTTGAGTCCATGCATTTGCTCAAAGAAACACTCTGGAATACTCTCTAAATTGCATCCAGACAACAATAATGTTGTAAGCTTTGGGCATTTTGGGGGTGGCATTCGGGATGGAATTTGTAATTGCCCATTCCACATCAACGAAGCCTTCTCCAAATCTTCATTCCAATCTCCCACATCAGGTAGCCTGTTCAATTCCATGCCAGCTTTCACCAAGAATCGTGGTCTTACACTTGTGATGCGCAATGCCATGTCCCTTAAAACATCATGCAGCTTCACTCGACCTCCACCTTTATAACCATTTTCTATCAAACAACTGCTTTTGAGTTCATCCAGTATGGTACGCCCCTTGTCAATCTCTTGTTGCATGCTATCCATTTCTTTTATATGCCCTTCCACAATCCAAAGATGGATAAGCTCATCTGTCTCAATTTCCCAATCTTCAGGAAATAAGGCACAGCAGAGGAAGCAATTTTTCAGCTCTTCATCCCGTAAACGATCATAGCTGAACTGAAGTTGCTGAAATACCTTCTCTTCCATCTTTTTCACAGTTTCTCCATTTCTTTTTAATTCATGGAGTGCATCCCTCCACGCATGAACATCACGTACACCCTTCATACTGCTTGCTATTGTAACAATAGCCAAGGGCAAACCACCACATTCTTTAGCAACTGATTCCATAATGGGTAATAGATTTGGATGATTCGAAACATCTTCACCTACTTTTTTCAAGAACAAGCTCCATGCATCTGGATTTGAAAGAGTAGGCACTCTAACTTCTCGACAATTCAAATAGTGGCACACATCTAATAACCGAGTTGTTACCACTAATTTACTCCCATTAGAAGGCTCAGGGATGCCTACTTCTTCAAGAGAAAGTTTGTCCCACAAATCATCTAGGATTAACACATACTTGCCTTTACGAGCTAACATTTCGTATATCATCCCTGCTCTTATTGTTTCATCTTCATCTTCATCAAGGGATACTTTCATTGCGCGTGCAATCCTATTTTGCAGTTTAATGATGTTCATCTCCTTTGATACAGTGATCCATATCACAATGTCAAACCTTTCAGTCTCTCTCAGTAGCTGGTTGTGTACGAGCTTCATGATGGTTGTTTTCCCTATTCCGCCCATCCCCCAAACGCCAATCTTTTGAATGTCATTATCCATCAAACAGGCCCAAATTTCTTCCATACAAGTCTTTGCAGCACCACCGAATAAAGTTGTGGTTGATAGAGCTTGTCCAATCCACCCAGGATTGTCAACTACCAAACTGTTGGGAAACTTACCCCGTTGATAAAGTTCATCAACTTCTTGTATCTTCTTCAAAACATTTCCTTTGAGGAATCCACGTGAGGCAAAACTATTTTCTCCTATTTTTTGTTCAAGGTCTTGGATTTCGCCATTTATTCTTTCAACATTCTCGAGCCATAACTCAACTTCTTTCTTTAGTTTCTTTCTCGGATGCAGCTCTGCGGTCGTTCTTGACTTCGTGTCTCCTTTTAGAGCATTTAGTTCCGCCTGTTTTCTCTTTAGGTCTTTCATTTTCTCATCAAGGTTTGTTGGAGTGTCCCACGATTCATCAAATTTATTAAGGAGAAAATCCATGGCCGTAAAGTCCCTACATACATAAAACAAATATGTATATCATAAACCATTTTGATGGACTTTATAACCATAACCATGTAAATATATAGATGCAGTAAATTTCGAAGGAGCATATTTTAATTACATTCTGGTCTTGCCCATTTCTTCTTCCCTTCAAAGGTAATAATGATTTCGTTAACTTATATCACCAAAACACAGTTCTCAACAATTAAGAAGTTAGAACCTTGGCCTTGAAATTCAGCAAGCTCTTAATTACTGTTATCAATTTTCAAGGCTTTTACTGTTACCATTACCAAAACCTAAAGCCGAAGTGATTAACTTCAACACATTTTCTAAGATTTTTTTTAATCTGATTGCATGATCATAACACTCATGTTTGTAACGAATCACAAAATTAACAAAGTTAAAATGAGAATCATCAAACAAAGAATTGTAAAAAGCCAATATTAGTAGTGAAAGAGGAAAAGGAATAACATTATGAAAAGAAAAAGAGAAAACAAAATTATGACAAGCATGAAAAGAAACAGAATACCGAAATTAAATTTCCTACCTTGAGCAACTAGACTGCCTGATGCTTCTGCAAGACCTTGAATTGAAACGAACAAAAGCAAGCAGTGAAGAAAAGAGTAGAACCCCGGTAGAAGAAGTGTATTGAGCAAAGAAACAGTGAATCAACTCCTGGTAGAAGGCTATGTAAATCTGTGCTAGTAACTTGATTGATATTCACCCAAGGAAAATAAAATAATGTGGGATTTAAGAAGAAAAAGGCAAATGCCAGGAAACAACGAGGAAATAAACCAAAACTATGAGTCAATTATTATAGTCATGGTCTTGGAGCTACTTGCATGGTAGGTGGCACCGGGGATGATTCAAGCAACTTATAAGTCAATTGTTATGGTCTTGGTGCCACTTTCATGGTAGGTTCCTTACGCCATGATTAAAGCAAATAGCTGTCTTTGTTGACTTTTTTGGCTTAATATTTCGTTATCAGTTGCAGGTTAAATCATAGGAAAAAAACCATCTTTATAATTGAAATTTAATAATTTTAAATTATATACAAAAACAAATAACTAAGGCATTGCTTGGAGCATCGCCCTTCAACACTTGAGGTCATAAACAGCCACGTGACCTTACTTTCTAAACTCAAAGAATAATAACAACATTGAATTTAAGAGGAAGAAGATACTTAATAATGTTTTTTCGTATCTTTATTTGGATTACACGGTTTTGTGTTTTTTGTATTTTGTTGAGAAAATTCTACATTCTTTGCCAATTGTGTGAACAAATTCATAGATAATTGTACCCACTTTCTTTCTCTCCTTTCTAAAAAGGAAATATTAACTTAAACCTTGTTTTATTTGAAAAAAAAAGGATTTTGTTTTTTTAATAAAAATATATATATTAATTACTAAATCAAATATTCAGATAATTATCTAAGAAAATGTTAAACATATACTAATTTGTCAAATACATTATTAGTCAATTTAATTTATTAAGATCGGATTAATCATGTACTTATAAATTATATGATCAAGTTATTATACATTAATTATAATATTTTTTTAGGGAAGGATAAAATTACATCAAAAAAGTTTTACATCTTTTTATTTTTTTTAATTATTAATTTCAATAAATTAAAGAGATGATAAAAATAAGTCACAAAAAAAATTTAATCTCATTCATTGAATTTATTAAAATTAGTGGTTAGAAAAAAATATAATTTTTTTTGTATAAATTGATCATTTCCTTTTTTTTTTTTTCATATAAATGATACATTCATCAATTTCCAATAGTTACCATTAATGATGAAATAAATTTTGAGCTTGTTAAAACTATTGATCTAGAAAAATAAAATGTTGAATCCAATAATTTAAATTAAAAGCAATGCTAATGTGTTCAAAAAGTTTCAAGTTGAAATAAGATGGAATAGGCATAAGGATATAGATTGTAATATAACTTTTTTCATAAAATTTAATTTAAAAGTAAACTATTTAAAAAGTAAATTATTTTAATTTAAAAGGATATAAAGTCTTTCATTTGCTCATCAAAGTTTTTTAGAGTGTCCTATAAACACTCTATTTGGTTTGGATTCAAATCAATTCAGTCCAATCTAATCAAGCCCAAACTAATCTAAATCCACTTATCTATTTTATTTGTATTTTTATTTTATTGTTAGGTTTGTATGATTTTCATTTTTATTTTATTCATCTGTATATATCATTTATTTATTATTTTATTATTAGCTTTTATCTTATTTAATTATATTTATTTATCTTTGATTTTTATTAATTTATCTTTAATTTTATATTATTTTATTAGGTGATTTAAAAAAAAAAAGGAAAAGATAATTAACATAAAAGGGTTGAGAATTAACAAAAAATTGGTGATGATCGGGTAATGAGATTTGGGAAATAAGATAATTGGAAATTAAAAAATTTTTTAGGAGATAACTTCCACTTGATTATATGACGATAAAACAAAAGTGGTTTTGAGGGATTCAATCTCTTTGGGAAATTCATCAAAGACTTTGTTAATTTTCTTATAAATAGATGCCTAAATCACAACATAGGGAGATACACAATATAGAGAGAATTTACAACAAATAGAGAGTAGATCAAAGTTTTCTGGTAGTAAAGTTTTCGAAGAAATTCATTTGTAGAATTAGGTTTCTTTTGAGTTTTATTCAATTAAATTTTGAAGAAATCGATAATATTGGAAGGTCTAGTAGTCTTAGAAGAATTGAATTTGTGTTTTTGAAAAATTTTAAGAAAAATTTTGAATTTTTTGGCAGGCTTTGAAGTAACTGACAAGATTCCAACCATATTCCTAGTTTCCGATGAGGAACCCAATGACAATTCCCAATATCCGGCATCATACCCATATCTTAGTGACTTTTCAATAAAACTTCCCAATTTCTAGTGCAGCATTTTCAGAAACTGGCAAGCATTCAACCGATGTTCATATGGTTTTAGAGTGAGAGAAATTGAAAAGGAAAGTACAGAGAGAGAGCGCAAAAAACTTTAGAGGAAAACAAGAGATTTGGGCTTTACATAATCAGATTGAAACGACGTCGTTTAGGGTTTTAAAATCCGTCAAGATCCGTGCATTTTATTGCTTGGAGATTGACCCAGTTGTAACCCATTTTTTAACTTGCTTCTCAGCAGCCTTGTTTCAGCTGAGCTGAGCCGATGTTGGAGCTTTTCCAGCCATCCGCCTATTCTTGCAGCTGAGTCTAGCCAACCGTCGAGTTAAGCCGATCTCTTTGATGCAAAATATTTTAATGGTTGATTTATTTATCTATTTTATTTTATTTTATCATTTATTTATTTTTGAAATATTTTGGATGATTAATTTTAGGAAAAATTAAAATAAATAATTATAATAAATATAAAATAAAACTTTAATAAAATTTTTAGAGTAAATAATAATCATCCAATAATAAAATTCTTAAAAATTACAAATAGCTAATTTCTAAGAAATTTTAGTTGAGTTTTTTTTCTAAATTTGACCCAAATAGAAAAAAAATTAGATAAAATTTTAATAACAATAATTAATATTTAATTTTAATTTTAAAAAAATAAATTTAATAAAGTTTTGAGATTGAATTAATAATCATCTAATGATGAGATTCTTAAAAATTTTAAATAGTAAATTTTTTAAGAAATTTCTAAGTAAAGAATTTTTCTAACTTAATCAAAATGGTAAAATAATTTAGATGAAATTTTAATAAAAATAATTGTATTCTTTTTCAAATAAAAATTTAAAATATATTTTAAAAATTTGTGTGAAAATATTTAACAATTATCTAGGGATGAAATCTTAAGAAAAATCACAAATAATTGAACTTCTATGAGATTTCTAGGTAAAGGTCTTTTTTTCTAAATTCAATCCAAATAGTGGAAGAATTTAGACGAGACTTCAAAAAATAATTATCATATTATTTTCTTTTTAAAGATTAAGTAACAAATGACAAATAACAAGAGTTTAGATTCTAAGAAAAATATTTCTAAATTTAACTCAAATGATAAAAAATTTAGAAATAAAACTTGTAAAATAAAAAATAAATTCTAAGGATGAAATTCTTAGTAATCGCAAGATGATTATCAAAGAAATTTCTATGTGATAAAATATTTCTAATTTTGACAAAAATGGTGGAAGAATAAGATATATTTTCAATAAAACAAAAATTTAACAAAAAAAGTAAATGATTAAGTTTTTTAGACGACATAGCTTCTTCAAAAAAAGAATAAGATTCTTAAATACTTTTGAGATAAAAAAAATATCTTTAAGAATTCTGCTAGATTGATGAAGAATTTTAAAAATTATTTCTAAAATTTAAATGTTAATAGAATATCATTAGAATCAATATTTTAGGATAATTTTAAAATTAAATACTACTATTTTTTAGACGGGCATGTAAAGGTGCTATAACTTTCTCTATATATAATCGAACTCTTGAATCTCGTTCTAATTAGTAGACCATAACCTATTCTTTTAGAGATCTTTAGTAAAATTTAGAATTTCTTTAAAAGAATAGATTTATTAGATAATCAATCACACATAAATAAAAAATATTGGTAATGACTTCTTTAATTGTATCTAATTATGATTTACGAATTTATACGTTATGATACCATGATTCAAAAAATTTAGTAAAGAAAAAAATACATGGATGTAAGTCTCTACGTACATAAAAACAAATATATATATATATATATATCATAAACCAATTTGATGGACTTTATAACTATAACCTTGTAAATATAAAGATGCAGTAATTTCTAAGGAGCATATTTAATTAAATTCTGATCTTGCCTATTTCTTCTTTCTTTCAAAGGTAATAATGTTTTCTTTAACTTATATCACCAAAACATAGCTCTAAAGAATTAAAAAGTTAGAGCTTTGGACTTGAAATTCAGCAAGCTCCCAATTACTGTTATCAATTATCAAGGCTTTTGTTTTGACCATTATCAAAACTTAAAGCTGAAGTGATTAATTTCAACACATTTTCTAAGATTTTTTTTCGTTTGATTGTATGATCATAACACTCATGTTTCTAAGGAGTCACAAAATTAACAAAGTTAAAATGAAAATCATCGAACAAATAATTGTAAAAAGTCAATATTAGTAGTAAAAGAGGAAAAGGAATAGCATTAATGAAAAAAAAATAGTGAAAACAAAATCATGACAAGCATGAAAAATAACTAAAATATAGGAACTAAATTTCCTACCTCGAGCCCCTAGGTGATGCTCCTGCAAAACCTTGAATAGAAAAGACGAAAAGAAGACAGTGAAGAAAAGAGTAGAACCCCGGTAGAAGAATTGTATTGAGCAAAGAAACAGTGAATCAACTGATGTTAGAATGCTTTTTTTTTTTTTATATCATGAAAATAAAATTTTAATATAAATAAAAAAATTTAATTCGAAATCAAATCTCTCATATTCTTTCAAATGTCTTTAGTTAATAAACCAAAAGTTTGGTACCTGTTAGAATGCTTTGTAAATCTGTGTTAGCGACTTGATGGGATTTAGGAAGAAAAAGAAAATGCAAGGCAAAAACGAGGGAAATGAACCAAAAGGCATGAGTACAGCAAATTCTGAGTAAATTGTTATGGTCTTTGTGCTGCTTTCATGGTGGGTTCCACACGGCATGATAAAAGCAAGTGACTGTCTTTGTTGACTTTTCTATTTCCAATGTCTTTTTCTTTGTCTAAATTGCTAAAAGGGCTAAAATTTACATTTGAACAACAGGGAGTACAAAGTAGGCAGCCCTTTAAGGGCGGTCTAAGACACTGCCTCCAAGCATGCTTGGTAGCTATGTTCACTCATTGTAAAAGTTCAATTTGCTAAGAAAGATAGGCAACGTCTAAAAATGAAAATATGTATATAATAAAAATAAGTCATTTTTTTTCAATAATTTCAGCATGAAAGAGAGAAGGAGCCTTGAATTTCGACGAGAGATTAAAATTTTATATTAGGCATTACAATACACGATGTCAAAATTTACATATGAAATGAGGTAAACCCGCAGCAATATTACAGCTTTCTTGGTATTGGATATGTAATAGTGGATATTGATCAGTGACTACAAAATTGGATTACTTGAGACATTTGTATCATCTTGAACATCGTCATCTAGTAACAATCTAAGCTTTAAAATCTTGTGAAGTCGAGAAATTGGTTTTCCTTACTTTCTTGATGCTTGATTTGGATCAATTATACATTCACTTGAGTAGAAATTTGCTTCTAATGGACCTGTCTCTTCATGTATAATAGGGGAATCTTCTGCAAATAATAATTGACAAACGAATTCTTAATTCATACAAGAAAAATATAATTTTTTATAAGTAATGTATTTATTATTCAAAAAGCAGTAAAACTGCTACAAGAAAAATATTTGATTGGAACGTTGCTTCAACATTTTACATCATCAGAATCCAATTGGCTTAAGACAACAGTTCATGAGAATAAGAAATTCCAAATCAAGCTGTATTACCATTTCATTGTTTTTCTACGTCATTTCCTGTTGATTTGTATGACCATGAAATTGAATTAAAAAATTTAAAAATAATTGTAAAGATAAGATTAATTAATATAATAGTGAAAGCAATTGAATATAATCACACAACTAAAATTAAAAATAGTGAAAGCAGTTGAAAATTATAATCATAAAATTAAAATTAATGATGAAAATATATATTTAAATATAAACGAAATAATAAAAATAAAATAGAGTATAACATACAATTATTCATTTAAAAATATTGGATTATCATATTTAAAAATAAAACAATCATTTGTATAATTGAAAATTGTATTGTATTTCAATTTTATACTAAAAGCAATTGAATGTCTAAGACAAAAAAGAAAAAAAATCGATTGTCTCAGGGACAGCGTACCGCTGAAACCATTTCTCCTTCAGTCTCCAATTACAGGAACAATAAAATTAAAACACTTCAACTTCACCACGAATGTCATCCTAATGTATCTCATAATATGGTTGAAGGAAAAAAAAAAAAAAAGGCTTAAACACCTGAGATGCGATGCTATCCAAGTGTACCCTTATTGGAGAAAAAAAGTTACCAAGGAATGGAAAAGTTACTAAACTTTCAGTTGGCTTGAACAAAGGTGCCATCTAGGGGAGAACAATTCAAATCATAATGCAAATGGTGACTTGGTGACTGCCATCATAGGGTGGGGGTATCCACCAAAGGAGAAAAAAATAAAAAAGAAAATAAAGGATAGTGCTAATCATAATTTTTTTTTTCATTGGTTTTTTCTTGCGATAATTAAACAAAAAACTACTAGTAAAATACTGTGTGCCATTCGTCCACAGAACACTGAAAATACATTGGGCTTTTTTTACTGCAGATTGATTCTGACCTTTATCAGATTTTACTAGTCTTCTGATATATCCAACTTGTTCAATGACATTTTAATTCATCCAAAATTGAAAAAATCCAAACAGATTTTCATGGGAAAGAAAAGTAAAGGCAAGAATAAAATACAAACAGAATGAAGGAAGGAATACATTTTGAGCTCATCTATTCTAACTTTATTCACTTGCTAATAGATTTCAAGTACTTTTAATTTCAGAATGAACCTTAATTAAAAAAGTTTAATTATGATTAATGAAATGAAATAATCAATAGAAAGGGATAAACAACTCCCTCAGTGATGGGCAAATAAGAATGGAAACAAGCAATTCCACCAGGTTACAGAAAAATTATTTATCATGTCAGAAAACTGACAAAAGAAATTTCAGAAGATAAGAATGTATTGACGTCCGAGAATCCTTATCCATAACTCTAAGACCCACGACCATAACAATAGGTAATACTACCTACCTTTACTTTAGTTCATGGTCCTCACAGATCATATAAATAGTGATTAAACCCTTCATGGCAATCTCCACTTTCATTTGATCATTTGACATGTATTTGTGTCTTCATAAAACTAATTATTTTTATCAGAATTTTCTGTCTGGTTGAAGAGTTGAAGAAATGTTGGCTATTTTCCACAAGGCATTTGCTCACCCTCCCGAGGAGCTGAATAGTCCAGCTTCTCACAAATCTTCCAAAAAGCCTAAGCTTCCTGATGAAACCCTGAATGAGTTCCTTTCTCATCACCCTCATAACACTTTTTCCATGAGCTTTGGCGATGCTGCTGTTCTTGCTTATGTTCGCCCTGAAAACCCTTATTTAGTTCATCAAAGGTAAGTATACATGGAAATTGCTGATATGAAGATCAATAGTTTACATTACTTGCATGATCAATGGTTTCTTTGGGGGTTAATTTTGCAGGTTATTTTGTGGATTTGATGATATATACTGCGTCTTCCTGGGGAGCTTGAACAATCTTTATATGCTGAATAGACAATATGGTCTGTCAAAAGGGAGCAACGAGGCTATGTTTGTGATTGAAGCATATAGGACCTTGAGGGATAGGGGTCCATACCCTGCTGATCAGGTTGTTAAGGATCTTGATGGAAGCTTTGCTTTTGTTATCTATGACAGAAAGGCTGGAACTGTCTTTGCTGCACTGGTAAGTCATTTTTCCCAGCATCAGAATTGAACTATCAGGACAATAGAATTGACTTATTGGAATTGCATCTTTGATTTTCCAGGGTTCTGATGGTGGGGTTAAGCTATACTGGGGAATTGCAGCTGATGGCTCAGTTGTCATATCTGATGATTTGGAGGTCATCAAAGAAGGCTGTGCCAAATCCTTTGCTCCTTTCCCAACAGGTACTTGACAGGTTCTTTTTTGTGGTGGAATCGGTTCATCAAATGACGATGTTATGAATCTGATACAAGTGTTGATTTGCGCGGAATTTTCAGGATTCATGTTCCATAGCGAGGGAGGCCTGGTGAGCTTTGAACATCCAATGAACAAAATCAGAGCAATGCCAAGAGTAGACAGTGAAGGAGTGATTTGTGGAGCTAATTTCAAGGTTGATGTCTACACAAGAGTTAACAGCATTCCACGTGTGGGAAGTGAAACAAATTGGACTCACTGGGATTCACATTAATCAACACACCTAACCAAAACAAGGTTGCTTTGAAATTTGTTCTCCAGACATGATCAAAGCTGAAACAAACACTAGGATTTCTTCTAGTTTTGTGTTCTTTCCAAGTTCTTGAATTTTTTGTACTTTTCTTGCTAGGTTTTTTTTTTTTTTTTTTGGGGGGGGGGGGATTGTAAATAATAACCAAATGAATAAGGACTCCTATTCTACTTTTCTTATAACATTTGCCAATTATCTCTTAATTTAATTAAACTTGAAATTTTAATTCAATAAATTTTAACTTAAAATTCAATATTTATAATTTATTTTACTATTTTTATTCTGCGATCTATTGTGAAGAAAAAATATTGCAATTCTTTAAAAAAAATTAATAATGAAAGACAGCTCTTGGGCAAAACTTATTTCAATTTGTAATTGTCTAGCGAAAATCTATATCAATGTGTTTTAATCCAATCTCTAACGTATCCATTGGGCGTACGTGCATGTCCCCATTAGCCATTATAGATTTTAGTACTGTTGTTAATTTAGGTATTGGTTGATAGACTTACCTAAAACTCTGTGCAAAGGAACCTATTCTTTTATTATTATTATTATAATTAAGATTATCTATAAAATTGTTTATGCCAATAAAGAAATGCAAAAAAAAAAAAACCAAAATTTTAAAGTTACCAAAAAAAAATAATTTTCAACATTCAAATTCAAATCCCCTCCTTCAAATTGTAGTTTTGATAAACAAATTAATGAATTTCTTGTAAATTATTAAAGCTAGAAATAAATGGTATTAAAATGAAATAAAAATAGTTAAAATTATTAGAAGGATAATTCCATAAGCATGTTTAAGTGGTTATTACATTTTTAATTATTTTTAATTTTTTAAACTAATATATATATATTATATTACAACATATAAGATTACATAATTAAAATTACTTATGTAGATGTCTAGGTGAATAATCTCTTTTAATGACCTATAAGATAATATTTTTGTTATTTCATTTATTAAATAAATTTTTTAACAAATTATTTAAATTGAATATTTTAGATAGTTATTTAAATTAAAATGAAAATCTATCTAAGATTAAAATTTTTGTATAAGATTTGAATTCAAATATATTAACTCATAATTTATTTTTTCTTTTTAAATTTAATGACAGTTCTAAATATATATATTTAATAAAATTTTATTTTTTGTCAAATAATTCTATTTAATAAATTGTTTAAATTTAATATTTTTAGATAATTATTTATATTCAAATCAAAATCTATCAAAAATTAAAAATTATTTGATAGATTATTTAAATTTAATATTTTTAGATAAATTAATAAATTATTGACTAGAAAGAATTTTTTTAAAGTAATAAAAATTTACATCTTTATATGAAAATATGAAACATTTGAATATTGATAAAAAAGTTAGATAAAAATATATTTTTGCTTTGAAAACAAATATAATGTTTTATTTATGTTTTAATTCAAATATTTTTGTATTATATATTTGGTTAATTTATTTGTTTCTATTTAGTCCATAACTTTTTTTAATTTTGCTTAGATTGATTATAATTAATTTTTTGTATTATATATTTTTTGTTTTATTCATTTCTTCAATGTTTTTATTCTCTGTTAATTTATTAACATATTAGCTTTTATCATTATATATATATATATATTTAATCTTGATAAATTAATATGTAAATTTATATTCTCTATTTCCTTTTGCTATACTTTTTATTATTGAATTTCTTTATCTGCAATTGATAATATAAGAAGAATGATGATCAATACCATATCTAACTCACAAAAAATACTATCAATTATGTTAAAAATGATTAAGAATATTAAAAAAAAAATTTTAAAGCATAACATAAAAAATTATTGTTTCCTTTTTATCTAAAAAATAACTTTATTTTGTTGACATTTATATAAATAATTATTAGCCCAATGTATTTATGTAATAATTACTTGAAGTATGTAAACAATAAGAATTAATAAAAAGTAAATGATTATAACAAAATTAATAATTGTGATTTATTGTTCAATCAAATATATATATTCCATCTAATCAATATTATGATGAAAAAAATTATTAATTTTAACTATTTAAATATTAATTTTTTATTTTTTATCAAACAAGAAAAAAGCGATAACAAAATTTTTAGTATTGAGCAAATAAATTAAAGAAAATATTTTTAATGAAAAAAAATTTTATAATTCTTGAAAATTTACAAAAGTTTAGACTTGCTTTTAGATGAACAATATTATTTATAATATATTATATATAAATTTTGTAACTTAATATTTATAAATATATAATTATATATTAGATAAATAATTAAAAAAATAAATTTAAAATTATAAAAAATTTAATAAAAAATTTGTGAATTGTACGGGTTTAAAAAGCTAGTATATTATATGTCAACATACTAATTCGTATATAAGATTTAAAAACCCTATTTGATTAAATTAATTTCTCCAAAACATTATTTTTTTCTTTCTTTTTCAAATGTTAGGAAATATGTGTAAAATAAAAATGTAACAATAATTGTGTAAAAAAAAAAAAGAGAAAAAACTCGCTTGACTGCTTGACCTGCTGACCGCGGGCAGTAATACTCTCTTTCAGTCCTCAATCGCGTTTCCTCTCTCTTATTGTCATTTCTAGCAATGCCCGACCCTGACTCGAAACCCGACCCGGAAAACCAACACCCCGACAATGCCTATGAATTCGACGAAGACGAAGATGACGATGGCGACGAAGACGACGACGTTGAAGAAGATGAAGAAGACGCTGAAGGCGACGACGTCTCGTTCGAACCCGCCACGCCCCGAGCGGTGAAGCTGAAAATGGACGCTCTAGTCAGACGTATGTTAATTGGACCCGTTTCAATCCACGTCCACGATGTGATCATCAAGGGGAACACGAAGACCAAAGGTTACATAATCGAAGCCGAAGCGTCAGAAGCTTTGAAGAAAGCCACCACGATGCAGGAGCTGTTGCGAGCATCGAACGCGGTCAATTCACGGCTGAAATCGCTCGGACTATTTGATTCCGTTATGATCACGCTCGATTCAGGCCCGCCGGAGATCCCTGGAAGCGCCAATGTCATTATTGAGGTTCAGGAAGCTGGGAATCGGTTTTCGGGAGAGATTGGAGCTTATACAAAAGCTGAGGTAAAATGCTTTGTAAAAGTTAGGTTTTTTATTCTGTGAATAATTAAATTATTCTTATTGTGAAGAAATTAATGTAATTAATTTGATGTTGGATGCAAAGGCCATAAAATTATTAAAAATTGTTTCTTTTTCAGAAAAAAAAATGCTTGGCATTGCATTTTAATTGGGATTTAAAAAAAAAAAAATCCAATTTTAGGTCTTCTGAATTTGGTGTTGAGCTATGTTAAGAGATTGATTCTTAATTTCTGATTCAATCCTCTCGTACAAATTCTCCTTTTACATATGCTTAATCTTCAGTTTTATCTTTAGCCATTCTAGTATGGGAATTCTTAGCTAGTTTATATGTGCACAAGGTTGTGAATAGGATTGAAATATGTTATGAAATATGGATATATTGCTTTAGTTCTGTAATTTCTGTGCATTATGATTGTATGTCGTTTTTGCAGGCTAAATCTTCATCAGTGGAAGGATCAATCAAGTACAAGAATTTGTTAGGGTATGGGGATCTGTGGGATGGTTCAATTGCATATGGTTTTGACCACTCAGCGGAGGTAAGTGCTGGTGTATATTTGCCCAGATTGAAAGCATTGGTAGCTCCTATGACTGCTCGTGCATACTTGTTGACCCAAGATTGGCTGAACTTTTCTTCTTACAAAGAGCGATCCATTGGACTTTCTCTTGGCTTATTTTCGAATAGATATCATAACTTGGACTACCATCTTGCATTGCGTAACTTAGCAGATCCATCTCAAATGTCAAGCTCATCCGTAAGGAGGCAGCTTCGACATAACTTACTTTCATCTTTGAAGTACACGTTGAAAATTGACAGGAGAAATTCTCTCGTGAGGCCAACTCGAGGATATGCTTTTGTTTCTAAAACTCAGATTGGTGGCCTTGCACCTGATAGTCATAGTTTACGATTCTTGCGCCAGGTTTGGTATTGTGCATTTACTTACTATCGCGGTTTTAATTTTACTGTTTTCTTGTACTTTGATCAGTTTTTCTTTTAATACTTGTGCTTCAAGGTTGTTATTGCCTGTTGGGTTTTCATGAAGAGAAGTAAAACTTTGTAGTGGATCATCATCTATCCCTGTATATGTATGTGTTATGTGTGCATGGGGTCTATAGTTTGATTCCAATCCCATTGCAGTATCCAGTATGCTTATTTATAGAGGTGTGAATGTTCATAATGCAATTGAATGCCAGGCAGAAGCTTAGGGAGTCTGAGGCTTTTATTGTCTAACATGCTAAGTTTAGCTTAGTTTTATTAGTAAAGGACATAAATGATTTTTTCCCTCGATCTGGGGATACTTGCTTTGGCCTTTATGATGCATTTGATTCTCACTGGCCTAAAAGTTTCTCATCTAGTTATAGCTAAGCTAATTTCTTTGTCTTGACAACTACATTTGGTGTATGGGTATAAATAATCATGTTCACCACTAGTTTCATGATCATACCTAATTTTCATTTTTTACTGACTTTTTTCATGTGGTCATTCTTTTTGTTAAACAACCTAGTTGCTAACTATTATTAAAATCCAATGGTGATTTCCCAAATATACTTTTTCGCTTACTAATCACTTGTATTATTCTCCTGATTTTGTAACAGGAGTTCGATCTTCAATGTGCTATTCCTCTTGGATTTTATCATGCAGCACTTAATTTTGGGATTTCTAGTGGTGTTATATTTCCTTGGGGGAATGGGTTCTTGAACATGACAACATCCCCATCAGAAAGATTCTTCTTAGGTGGCAATCTATCTCCAGTTTGTGCTTTAGGAGGTCCAAAAGCATTATGGGGATTTAAGACAAGGGGATTGGGCTCCTGTGAGCCTCTAAGGCAAATCAATGATGAGAATGCTGATGCTGCTGGGAAGGATTTTCATGGAGGAGACCTTGCTGTTACTGCTCTGGCTGACCTTTCTTTTGATCTTCCATCTAGGTGGTTTAGAGAAAGGGGAATCCATGCACATATCTTTGCATGTGCTGGAAATGTTGCAAAGTTAACAGCGATTGAGTACCAAAGTTTCTTGGTTCGGAAGTTCATAGAGTCATTCAGAAGTTCTGTTGGAGTTGGCATTGTCATCCCTACAAGTCTATTTCGCATGGAGGTTAGTTTCACTGTACCTTTATTCAAAATTTATAAACTAAGCAGTGGATAATGGAGAAATAAAAATAATACATCTTCCCACTAGTGTTCTAGGTAAGAGGGAGAGAATTGATGGAAAGAAAAATAAATGGCCCCATTATCAAATTTTATACATTTCTTTGAGCTCTTTCTGGTTTTTGGTTGTTCATTTTGCCTGGTATATGTTCTTCTGACATGCTTGGTTCTTTTGCCAGCTTAATTACTGCTACATACTGAAGAAGTTTGATCAGGACCATGCAAAGGCTGGCTTTTGGCTAACCTTCTCTCGCCCATCATAGAATGTTGAATTCTTTGACAATGTTTGGCATCTAGCAACATTGGCATGACATTGAAACCTGTCGTTTCAAGCAATCGAGTATTTTGGATACCTTGGCAGTTCTTTTCATCAGTGTTGATATGGCTCTTTTCACCTAAAAAATAGTGGGAAAATAATTGGATTTCCATTATGTTTATGGTGACAGTACACAATGCTTTTTTTTTTCGAAAGAATATCACTCACAATTATTGCAATACCTTTTGTAGTCGGTATTAAATGACCAAAATCTGTCGTTTAACAGTGGATACAACACAATTTTAGTGAATAATGATTCTTTTTGCTTGTAGAAAATTAGAATCTGAGACACAACATTCCCTCCACATATCTGCAAATTCATCAGGCTCCAATGGATTAGACAGCTCGTACATTTTCCTCCTTGTCTCAGCTTTGACTTTCTTCACATATCTCCCAGCCTCCTGCCTTGTCTCCAATGCTCGGATCTGCAAATATGGGGAAAGGAAACACGTTGTGTCAATAATTATTAAATCTGTAAAAGAAGAATATGAATCTTACCTTACTTTCACAGAATCTAAACTTAATAATTTTAAATATGAAAGGAAAATATACGAAAAAAATGATTAAGTTTAAAATTTAAAATATATATATGGATTTGAAAAAATAAAAATATATATTTTGTGTTTGACGGGTCAATATGACATTACAATTTTGAGTTTGATATTAAATAAATATGATATAAATATACAAATGATTAAATCTAATAAAATCCACAGAAATATCATTAACCACACATAACTTGCACCAACAGGCAGCAAGATCAAGGTTAAAGTAAAATCCTCTAACCTGGTTTGGTGAGACATAGAAAGGATTCTCATAGAGTGTTGCACCAAAGGATTCTCATAGCTACCAGCAAATATCTTGATTGGATTCCAACAAAATCTCGGACCGACCTGTACAGAACCAGTATCTAGAATTGAAGTACAATCACAAGTGCTAGAAATCACATTATATGAACAAGAAAGCACATATCACTGTATACGTTAACAAGGGTCATTTTATCAAGTCCCGCTCGAACCATTTTGTCGGATTCATTATGAGGAACAGGTATCTGCATATGGAAACACAGTGTTAAAATTAATTCAATAGCAATTCATTCATCAACAAATCACAGAAATTTATGCTGCTCATTTCATCATCGTTTTCTTTTGAAGGCTTCAAGACAACCATACACATCTATCATACACAGCATACATCATACGATAGGAGCAACACCGACCAAGTTCCCAAAGAACAGATGTTAAAATAGACTAGACATTAATCCAAAGTAAAACTAAAATTAAAATAAATGAGGATATCGATTCAAGAGTCCAAGCAATGTCAAGAAGAGAAAGGAGACAAAAAACTGTGTAGGCATTTTCCTAGGAAAACTAAAATTGACCCGTCCAACTCCTGCACTTTGACCTAGTCAATAAAAGTTAAGTTTAAGGATGGAAATCCAAGTAACTGAGCTTGGCAGGTCATCTAGTTGATAACTCTTGTACTACAGCAACAATTCACATCCGTTAGATCAACCACCTCTAACATGTTTATGCTTTAATAGGGTACCTATAAGGAGTTTATTACTAAACCAGTATCTGTTGTGTCCAAGAAATTCAGACAGAAAGGAGCATAAATGAAAATTTTGCTTTTAGTTTCCATCTTAAAACCTTGAGATACACAAAACTACTGTTAAGAATTTAATCCATATTTGCAGCACATGTTGTACACAGATTACAAAAAGCATATAGTTCACCGACCTGGTAATTGCGGAACCAGATGTTGTCATCAACAATGGAGAAAACAAAGACATGATCATGATAAGGTTTGAATTTTCTGTGCTCATTTGGAGTTCCAAATATCTGACAGAAAACAATAGAAAAGAAAGTGTCATGGAGTATTCTCATATTCACCCTACAGTATGTTTAAGTGAAAAATCCACAGAATCAGGAACAGAATCTCAACATTTTCGTGCACAGATAACTGTTATAACTTTATCTCAGTGACAACAAAAAAGAACCATCCTAAAAAGCAGTTATATCAACAACATTCACATCATTTCAGAAGTCAGAAAGCAAATGCATTCATATAGGACATGCATGAACAGAGGAACAGTCCATGTAAAATTGTATAAAGACATCTATCATTTACATCAAGTATTATCGAGAGAATTTGCATTTACAATGCTACAGGTTGAAAGACGTGGGAGAAAACTCAAATGAGTTCATTCAAAGAGTGAGGAAGTACATGTTTCATCCATATGTGAGAAATACAAACAGAAAAGAGCATTCATTTAAAAGGAGGAAACACAACATCAAGATACCTGCATGATCATCTCCTTCAGAAAATTCCAATGAGCATCTCTTTCAAAATTGCCTGAGAAAGTCAATAAAGGACGTGAACCTTTCAAATGACTTCCAGTGAGCTTCAGTTCTTCCATTGTGTGAACTACAATACAATGAACAAAACGAACTTCATTAAGCGACAAGAAACAAGAAAAATCAGCATGCCCCAATACTAACTAAACAATATCAAGAAACTCAAGTTTTTTATAGGGTCAAATCATAATTGTGCATTTTAAGAAATCAAATGAGAAATATTACCGGCATTAAACAAAAATTTCACAGATGGACCACTGGGACACTTTGCCATCCACAGATAAAGATCCTGATGTTTCCTACACTGGCAAAAACAAAAGGAGTTGCATAAATTAAAAACGTTGGACATTTTGAGCATTAAATTCTAAAGTAAAGCAAGGTAAAGCCACCTTATTTTTAGCATAAAAAAAATTAAGTTACTATCATTTCCAAAGAGTTACATTTGACCCAAGGTTTATATAATTCTATACATTTTTAGTGGATCAAGCTTTGCCAGCTCGTCAATCTTCATATTTATCATTAACAGTGCATCAAAATTGTCTAAACTTTATTTTTGCGAAGGAAAAAGAAATAAAGATCAAATATTTACCTCAAAAAAACAGACAAGAAGAACAACCCCTCAACTCAATAAGCTCATTCAAGGTAACCCCTTTACTACTCCTTGATTCAACCTTGTTATCCTTCTTGCAATGAGGCAAAAGTGAAACCATATTCAACATCAAATGCCTATACCTACACAAACCAAAACCAAAGCCAAAAAAAATAAAAAATAAAAAATTGAACCCGTATCAGAAACAAAGTCAACCAAACATTCAGGCAAAGAAATTACATTTTTTTTCTAACCAACCTGTAATTGATACGGCGTGAACATGTCACCATAACTTTTTCTTTGTTTCTAAAAACTTGGGCAGAATCAGGATTAGACTCAGTTTGTTTCTTAACATCTTCCTTGTCTTTCCAACCCAAAAGTGTCCTTTTTGGTCTCTCTGGAGCTCCTTCATCTTTCTCTGTTGGTTCAGCTATCAGGATTTCCCTGTGCTTCCGTTTCTTCCCCATTGTTTAACAAAGATGGAATTGAAAGAGTACAGGGTTTTGGGTTTTTGGCTGCTAGAACAGACGGAGGAAAACTGAAGATTTTGGTTTGATAAACCATGGTTAAAACCTGACTCCTACTTTCATAAATGGGCTTGTCTTAATAGAAATGGGTTCCATGGGTTCCCATGATTGAATCCCCATTTCCAAATTCGAAGGGGTTGACGCTAGAATGGGCCTGGTAATGGCCTAGGCTTTCTAAACTTTTAACATGATTTTCATTTAGTTCCATTAAAAAGCGGAGGATGTCCAGCAATTGGTTGCACAGTTCAATTTTGATATCATAGAGAAATCAAAGACTTCAAGCATCATCAAATCTGACATTTCCTATCAGTCAAGAAATAGTTCCAAGCCAAGGATCCAAAACCTATCATCCATAGCCGCTGCCCAAGTTGTAAAAATGTTTCTTGAGAGTAAACATGATGCTTAAGAGTCTTTATAACTAGTTAGAAAGCTACCCTCACTGAATTGCTGTTGTTTAGGGTATGCTTTTGATGAAGTCGAGTTATGATTGTATAATCTTGTCCTACAACATATTTTGTTATAAAATTCTATGATCTTGAAGTCATATATGCTTATTGTTTTTAATTTATACATTCTCTTCGTTATGGATTTGGAATTGCTGCTGATTAATTGATAAAAGTTTCCCCACTTGATCACTTGCCAAACAATGAGAAATGATTGAAGAATATCACCAATTCCCATACATAATGACCAGATTATGATGTAATTTGGATGTTTTGGCTTAGTATAAATGGCAATTCTGACAAAGTAGAGTGAACAGCATCCATTAAGATCATCAAATCATCCTTCCAATATTGCAATGATAGCCAAAAACGAACACATTTTGCTTGGATTGGTTTAAATTCCAATTCAGACAAACAAGTAGAGTTAACAGCAGTGCTTTTAATTTTGATCATTTTAGTATTCTTGAATTCATGTGGTAACTAAATAAAAAGACAAAAGCAGGTGCACAAAGCTTCTTGCTTTGTGAGGGTTGGGGTGAAAATTATAGTACGCAACCTTTCCTCTGTATTTTTGTAAAAAAAATTGTTTTGAAGACTTAAATCTGTGACCTTCCAATCATAAAGAAGCAACCTTACCGTTGCTCCAAAGCTCGCCATCCATATGGTATCCAAATGATCGGGGCAACTTAATTTGTATTGTTGTATCTTGATTATTTGATCGGTACTATCGATTAACCATAAAGTTGACAACCACCTTAACTAATTTATCAATCATAAAATTTACAGATTTGCAAAACATTATCGGCTATTGTGCATGTTTTTTGATTTTATCTTATAAAAAATATTTTATAAATTAAAAATAATGTAAACACGTAATTTGAAAAATAATGTGAACACGTAAATACTAAATCAAAATACACAATTGATGACCTACAACTCAAACCGATATATATGTGCTTGAAACTCAAGAACTAAGTCATGAATTTAACCCTTTTTTCAACAGAAAGAGTGTACTAGCAAGAATTCTAGAATATTAAACCACGTGAAAGTCGTTTGTATAGAATACTTTTCATATATATATATATATATCAGCGTTGTCGTGATCCAAATTACACAAAGAAATTCATTGTTTTGGATTATACGGAAAAGTTTCCAGATTTGTTTCCCATTTGTTCAAGGATAAAAAAGAAAAAAACAAAAAACAACAAAAAAAAATTTATTGAATTAAGGATAAATTCTCAACAATTCCAGCCATAATTGATTCATTTTGCCGAAAATTTTGATTGCTTCAAATACTCTTTTACGCGTTTGTGGTTCGAAATTTATGATGTTTGTTGCTTGCTTGGTTATGAATTCTAAAGCATTTTGCCTCGTGATCTTTTTGTTTTTTTTTTTTTCGTATAATTATCTTTCTATGTATTATCTTTGCCTTAAAAAATATTATATTTTAACACTTCTTGGACTTTTAGGGGGCACCTTCAAAATATTTATGGTATCTTGTTTGATTAACACTTGAACCCATTTCTTAGGAATATTTGTATGATAGCAAAAAGTATTTAGGAGTTCTATCAATGAACGTTTGACTCAATTGGTAAAAAACATGTATTTTTTTTATTATTTGAATTTGAATTTATTTAATTCATAGATATATTTGATAAAGTTTAAGAATATTTTATCAATATTTGTTTGTCTGAATGATTAAAAAATTTGATTTTTTTAAAGTAAGATTTTAGTTTCAAGTTTTATCAATGAAAAAAATAAGTTTAAGAGAGTTTGTCTTCTTTATATGATCCGATTTAGCTTAATTTTGGATTAATTAGGATCCAAAATGACTAAGGAAATAGTGAAAAATCCCATGCTAAATCGTTAAAAAAAAAACTATAAGCTCAACCTGAGATGATCTAAAATTGATGAGGATTGAATTAAGTAATTTTTTTCACAATATGATCATGGATTATGAATTGTCAATTAAATTTTTTTAAATTATAATTTCGAAATAATGAATTAAAATTTACTACGTACATCCAAACTTTCATTCAATTATCAATACATTTATCTTCGATTTAAAGAATTGGATTGAAACTTTCATTTTCTTAAAAAAAAAAATTGAAATTCATATCATAAAAAGCAATATTATAAAAAAAGGTATTTGACTTTTTTTAATAATTTAAGTTGTAAGGCTTTTGAATTTATGCATTTAAATTAAAAATTAAACAAATAAAGAGTTAAAAAAAATTTAGCTCTTAAAATCGTCTGCAAAGATTAGATTCATGCAAGATCTAGAGATACTTGATTGTATAAAAAAAATTTTAGTCCATTAATTCAGGCATAAAAAAATTTAAATAAAGAGTTAAAAAAATAATTTTTAATTTTTAAAATCATATGAAAAGATTAAACCAGCAAAATCTAGGGATTAATTGTGCATATATATAAGTTATTAGTCCATTAATTCACACCATTATTAATACAAATTCTCTGTTTCTTTGAAGTGCTCTTGAAAGGTATAGAGCAAAGCACATGCTTTACCTAATTTCTTCAATATCAACAAATATTATGAAAGAGGAAATATAGTGACAACCCATCAAATTCCTCTTCATTTTTGTTAAAAAACAATTTTACAAATTAAGAGAAAAATTTTCTAGTACAAGAAGATAGAAACAATGAAAATCAACCCCCCAGCAATCTTTTAAATTAGACTGATATCTTAAGCACTGTGTGTACTCTCGAGAAGCCTTTTAGCAACTCGTGCAGCAGCTGCTAAGAGTTGGATATTAGGCTTTGGGTCATTAGCTTCGAACTCTTTCTTCACAGCATAGGCAATGTCTGATCTGATTATGCATGAAGCATTGGTTTTCTCTATAATATCAAATCGAACAATTTGAACTGAGCAACCAATGGCTAAACATCCTCCTTCCAAACCCTTTGCTACTTTCACCCTCTTCTGATCATTAATCACAATGAATCTTTCGGTATAGCTAGAATTGCCTGATTCATTTTCACAACAAAAATGAAGCCAAGATCAGCTCCAAGCATGAAAATTTGATAAAAGAAACATTTATTTTAAAAAGGATAGTATAAGAACCCAGAACTTAGCTCATTGGTTAGTTCAAATAGTTATATTTAAGAGGTGGCAATCAGAATTTTTTTTTAATTGTTAGATTATGATCCAATGGAGGATCTAAATTTTTTTGGGGAATGTCTACTTACAATATATATTAAAATTTGTTGATTGATTTATCGATTTTTCAATGACAACGGTGTCCAAGGGAAATATTTTAGGGTGTCCAAATTTTTTTTTTATTTTTCAATCATTAAGGGTGTCCATGGACATCCTACTTCAACACATAGATCTGCCCCTATTATAACCTCCTATGTAAAAAAAAGTAACAAATTATGTATGAATCGGTACCTGGAACAAAAGTGAGTTTGAGAATAGTTCCAACACCACCATCACCTTTCAAAACTTCAACACTTTGGATCACATTTGTGAGCTCTTGAGCAGCAAGCATTGAAATCCCAAGGTGCCTGTAAAGCTCCCAAACATTACTTGCCGGCACATTCACTTCAAGCTCATCGGTTAGATGCTTCAATTTTTGTGACTCAACTCCCATGCAACAAGCGAAAGCAAGAAAGAAAATGCAAGAAACTTGCTTCAACATTTTTGCAATCTTGGTTTTGATGAAAATTTTCTTGCCTTTAGGCTTTGATTTAAGTCTAGAATGATTCCAATAGGTGCAATCGATAGGATTTATATAGATTGTAGAGCTGAGCCAGATCATGCATTACGTGTGGCGGTTGGGTTGGCAAATTGAAGTCAATAGATGATGATAATGTTTTCAAAGGTCGATCGTCTGGAAGAGGTCTTCGCCTGGCCTAGAATCATGCCTGCTATAGGGGCAGTCTGCCTTGAACAACAAGTTTTAATGCGGCTTTGTTGTTTACAAAACGTAACTTTGAGCCAAAATTGATGAATGATTCTAGCCAAATTAAGTTAAAAAATTATTATTAATCAGACAAGATTTTTTATATAAGGATTGGAGGATTTGAAATCCAATATTTCTTTAACAATGTAAATCATGCATTAATCATTAATTTAAAAATTTGGATGCATTTAAATAAAAATATTTAAGTGCTTCGAAAGAAAAATAAATAAATTTGTTGAGGTTTTCAAATAATATCACGAGCTATGTAAAAATATTACCACAAAAATGATTTATTCAATTATTTTTACAGTATAATATAAAGTAAATTTGATATTCAAATTTTGACATATATAATTTTTTTGATTTTTTTATATAAATAAAAAGAATTAAACAAAAAAATTCTAGTTAAGGAAATAATTTAGGGGATTACTATTTAAAATTAATTTATTAATTTGGAGCTTAAATATATGGTTGACTAAGTTTTTCTTTTAGGAGGCGGTTGACAAATTTAAGCACTTGAGACAATTATTATTAGGTTGATTTTGTGTATTGAGGAACAAAAGAAAACAAAAAATGTTGACTCCAAAACAATAGAATCCATCATAAAAATATCTTGATTTTTTATTACATGAAAAAAAAAATTCATTGATTTTGACACCATGAAATTCAAACCTTATCCAAAAAAGAAAACCCAAATCAATTTATTTTTATGAAAAATTAATTCAATTATTCCTTCTATTTTATTTTTTATTCATTTTTTAAGATATCTCAATATTATGTATTATTTCTTTTTTTTTTTAATATCTAAAATTTTTACTTTTTATATTTTAAAATTATTTTTATTTTTGATATTAAAAATCATAAAACTTCAATTTATAAAAAATTTTAAAATTTAATATTAAATACATTAAAATCAAAATTTTTTTAAAATTCCATAAAAATTAATACATGATAAATAGTTTGAGACGAAAAGAATAATAAAAAGCTATATTGAAGATTAATCAGTTGAAAATTATTTGGTCATAATAGCTATAGTAACATGCAGAAAAGTTGGTCACAATACAATTATTCACTTTGACAAAAATATATAGATAATCATTTTATTGGAAAAAAAATTTACTATTACTGTATATTATTAAATCTTATACATGTGGTAAATTTTGAATTTGACCAAAATAAAAGAATAATTCAGGCTACGAATTAGAAGAGATGACAAAATCTATTTTTATTACCATTAAACAGTTTATGCATTAAGCTAACCTACTTTAATGGAATTTCGTAATATCAACTTAAAATTATAATTAATCTATTTATAACTATTTATTTTTTTTATAAATTCATTAAATCAGGTATAGACAAATCTATTAATTGATTTGAAAAAAACTATATTGAACAAAAGTTACAAAGTTCTTATTGTTTAACCAAAATATAAATTTTAAAGTTATCTTATACTTTAATCACATTCATAATAAAATTTGTTAGAGATTAACGGAATTATCATTTTTTTTCTTCATCATATGTCATGAACAACATTATATTAAATTCTAAGTTTATGAAATTTCATGAATCAAGTTAACAATTAATAAATCTAATTAGAATTTCATTGTGGTTTATGGTAATTTCCTTTTTGGATAAATGAATGGTTTAAGGTAATTTCATACGATAGAGATAAAATGGAATTTTTTTTTTTTTGTCATCATATTCTTTGTTTTCGCTACATCAAGAACAGTATCTTAGCAAAGAAAAAGAAGATCAAAAGAAAAAAAAAAAAAAAGGAATTTTGAAAAAGACACTTGTATTATTTGGAACCTGCTGGAAATATTCTTGCTTATCCTCACTCATTCATGAAAATTCAGTGAAAATTGTTTGTTTCTTTAGATAACAAAGCTTGCAAGAGAGAAAAGAGATGGCAGATCGTTTCTTTCCAAATGAAATGCCAGATTTTGTGGCAGAAAGAACAGTCACTGAAGGAACCACCAAAGACTCACTCATCAACCTCCTTTCTTTACCTCACAAAACACTCTCTGATAAGTTCAAAACCTCAGCTCTGGACCTCAAAGAAACGGTATTCTCTCTTTAAAACTCTGTTTTGGGTTGTAGAATTTTCATTTTTTAGTTTCATTTCATGCATAAACTCAATTGAGTTATGCATATAGAGATTAAAGTTGGTAAGTTTACTGTATTTTATGTTCTGGGTATGTTGAGATTTTCTAAATTAACCAAAGTTTGCTTCTTCTTTTTTTTTTCCACTGCAAACTCTGTTTTAATTTGTTGAATTTTCATTTTTTTTCATTTAATATATTCCCATAATGCAAATTATGCATATAGGCAACAAAGTTGGTGATTTTAATGTATTTTCTGTTCTGGGTATGTAGGGATTTTGTAAAATAACCAACTTTTGCCTTAAGAGAAAGAAAGAAAAAACTGAATTTTTGTTTCTTTTTCTTTTTTTTTTTTAAATTGAAAAATAGTTTGGTTTTGGTTTCAGGTAGTGAGGGAGACATGGGGATTGACTAGAAAGCGAGTGCAAGATTATTCTTTGTATACGGGAGCTCTTGGGACAGCTTACTTGGTCTTTAAAGCTTACCAAGTTACCAAGAATGAGAATGATCTTAAATTATGCTCTGATATTGTTAAGGCTTGTGATTCTGCTTCTAGAGATTCTAGGTAATCTATCTTTCTTTATATCAACAGGTTCATTGTCATATGAATTGCCTCTTTGTCAGAGCTAGTTGAATTAGTTTCTGGATTCAATTTCTGATTACATGCCATTGGAAATGTTCAATTTTATTTGGTGAAGGGGATGTTGAGATTCCCTGGATTTGTTAGACATGAATTTATGTGCTTAAGTTTGGACTGGAATTTTTGTAGTTACTGAGTTTCATTGACTGAAGTTGTTAGGATATGATGGATGGACTGCATAAACTTCTTTGGAGTTTATACATGAATGCATTGTGGTTTTAAATTCAAGTCATTTAATTATTTGATACACACAACAGTCAAAGTATATGGAATTTTACACACAGTTTCGTTCTTGAATGCTTGTGTTGTTGTTAATAATAGTGTAGTGCTAAAACAATTGGATTTGTTGGAATCATTAATCTGATGTCTGGTGAATGAGAAATTAACTCAGATAGTTTTCTCTTTGCTACTCCAAATTGACAAACCATGTTGGAAGGTTTGATCAACATTCAGTCTGAACATAGCTTAGATTCCAAAGGAAACTCATGAATTAGCTCAACCAGGATTATGATGGTCTACATGAGATTGATTAAATTGGTTTTGTTTATACACTTGATTAAAACTTTTGTTGTAGCTTACCTACCATTGGAAGTGAGTATTCAAACATGGCCAGACTTGATATGTTTGATGCATGATGCGTGGATGTAGGCATGTTACATTCATATGTGGACGTGCTGGTGTTTGTGCTCTCGGTGCTGTCATAGCAAAGCATTCTGGTGATGAGAGGTTAAAAGATCGCTACTTAACAAAATTCAAAGAGGTGGTTCTTTGCTTTTCTTCTTTTACTTTTAATTATCTCACTTTCCTTTTGTTGTTCACTGTTTGCATGGATTTAGTTTGCTTGCCCTTTCTGATATTAGTTTTGCACTGACAGCAGATCAGATTTCCTAGTGACTTGCCAAATGAATTATTATATGGGAGAGCAGGGTTCTTGTGGGCCTGTTCATTCTTAAACAAGCATATTGGTAAAGACACTATATCTACCATCCGCATGGTAAGACATGTTTTCTCTCTGCTCAGCCTAGATTTTCTTCGTTAAGAGAATCAAATCAATCGTATTTATTTCCATTTGAACTTGGAAATTGTGCAGAGAGCAGTTGTAGATGAAATTATTAAGTCCGGTAAACAATTGGCAGGCAAGGGAAGATGTCCATTGATGTATGAATGGCATGGAAAGAAGTACTGGGGGGCTGCCCATGGACTAGCAGGAATTATGCATGTGTTGATGGACATGGAATTGAAACCAGATGAGGTGGAGCACGTCAAGGGTACTCTTCGATACATGATCAAAAATCGGTTCCCCAGTGGCAATTACCCATCAAGTGAGGGAAGTGAATCTGACCGTCTTGTACATTGGTGCCATGGTGCTCCTGGGGTCACACTTACCCTTGTAAAAGCAGCTGAGGTACTCCTCATGAGCCTACTTTTACCCCTTAAGCTTAAGGGATTACGAAATTTCAGTAATTTTGGTGTTATTTTCGTATTTAACCAATTAAAGGGAGAAAAGAAAGAAGAAATTGCAGGATCTCATGACTTTTTTGTACAATGTTCTAAATCAACAGGTTTTTGGGGACAAGGAATTTCTCCAAGCAGCCATGGATGCAGGAGAGGTAGTATGGAAACGTGGTCTGCTTAAGCGAGTAGGAATTTGTCATGGTATAAGCGGGAATGCTTACGTGTTCCTTTCACTCTATCGACTTACTGGCAAGGTGGAGTACTTATATAGGGCTAAAGCATTTGCTTCCTTCCTGTCTGATAGAGCACAAAAACTTATATCAGAACGAAAGATGCATGGTGGTGATCGTCCCTATTCACTCTTTGAGGGTATTGGAGGAATGGCGTATCTCTTTCTGGACATGGGCGAGCCATCTGAAGCAAGGTTCCCTGCTTATGAAATTTAAGTTGCTGTCAATGTGTTTTTTTTTTTTCTTGGTTCTTGTATGAGACTACTGCCATGTATGTGAACTTCTTACTGTTTTGTAAATATATAAAAAATTTGACTTTGCCCCTGACTTTACTATTTATTCATTGCACCTCGTGAAAACAATGGTGTTTGCTTCCTTTTCACCTTTTGTTTCCTTCAGTTTGTATATGCTAAGACCAGTACTATGAAATATAAAGGATTGATTGCTGTTGAAGAGAATCCTTGTTCGCTTCAATCTTTGTTACATCAATGGACATCTTAAATCAATCCCTTTTGGCTCTTCCATGAGTACGACTCCTTCAGCACTGGTTTGTTCATTTTTAGCGGACAGATACTTTGGGTTTCATTGGTTCTTGCTTTGCAAGTTTAACATGAAGAAACATTCTCTTTTTAGGACAATGAAAGTCTAAATCCTTAACTTTCTCAGAAAACCTTTGTGGGAATGGTAGTCGGTTACACATATTTGTCTCATTTCATCGTCTCCTCCTTGTAAGAAACACTTCTCTTTTTCAACAGTGACTTGAAATTAAAAACAATTCTCTTTTTCATCATTCCCTAAACCCGGGCTTCAAAAGGCAAAAAAAATCGACCTTATCAAATCAGGACACGTCGAAATCCATTAGATACAGTTTATTTTGTCATTTTTACTTTTAAGTGTTAGATAACACAAGAATGAAGTTCCTGTTAAAAAGCCCTCTTCTTTTTCAAAGCAAATTCAATCTTTAGGAATTCTATAGTTTGAAACATACCAACGGCTGATATTAAAAGAATTGGCACTTATCTCACCACCCTTAACCGCCTTTTATCCTTTAAAAGTTTTCACCATAATCAAATCTATGATGTCATAGAAATGCTGTCTTTCAGTGCCATTTCTCAGATACCAGCATTTATCATTACACTGTCGGCTTCAGTTGCTTGCTCCACGGACAGGCAATGTAGCATGGATTCTGGGCAAATGCTTTTCTGTTTCTTGAATGATTAAAACATCAGAAATTGATTAAAGTTTTGGCCAAGTTAGTTTTTTAAAGTTATTTGAATTATTTATTATTATTATTTTTCCATTTTCATATTGACAATGCCAGAACAATTTCAGGCTTGCAGCCAGGGTGAGTAATTTTATTGTCAACTGTAACTCACAAAGTCACCTACATCTACAGAAGAAAAATGTTTACGAAAGCAAACCATCTGAATCCAAAATCTACACTCTTCAATTGGATCAGACCTTGACCAATATCAAAGCTTTTCCGCAAGCAAACATTAAGTGGCAAGCACCTTAAGGCTTTAAATTAGGCCAAGCCAACAAGTTTCTCACTGAGCTCCCATATTTTGCGTGCTTTCTCCTTATCACTGGCTTCCGGCGACAACTGGTTCTCAAATGAAGCCGAATCCTTGTTCCAGCTCCAGTAAACACCGGACTTTGTCAAACTAGGGTCGCTCACAACCTGGATTACAAGCAACGAAATTGAGATAATGCACAACACAAAACAAAACTCATGGAATACACAAGATCATAACCCATGGAATACCTGAGCAAGTCTTTTTCCAGCTTCCCCTTCAGAGACAAAGCCCTTGGTGATGTACTTCTGGAATGGAGGGAAAAGGAGTCTGAACAGGGGAATGTGCTCCCTGAACAATCCTGTGGTAGCTATGCAACCTGGATACAGGGAAGCAAATGTGATGCCAGTTTCCTCATGGAAGCGCCGGTGGAATTCTTGCATTGTGAGCATATTGCAGACTTTGCTGTCCTTGTAGGCCTTGGCACCATCAAATTCTCCACCATCAATCATGGCACAGCTGTTCATTCCATTCAGTCCCCCAGCAAGTCCCCTTAGGTCTCCAAGGTTGGCCTTTGGAGGTACATTTCCAGCCAAAGTATTCGTGTTTCCTGATTCATTGTATATAAACAACTACATCAAATCACATTCTTTTACAAAATGCTCATTTTGAATGCAATGGTAGGAAAAAGTACCTGTAATCGAACCAACAATAATGAGACGCTTTGATGGATAATCAGATTGCTTCAGGCCATCAAGCAATAACCGAGATAGAAGGAAGTGACCAAGATGGTTAGTTCCCACACTAAGTTCAAATCCTTCAGCGGTGAATGAGGGTTCCTTAGCAGTTGGCTGGTAAACAGCAGCATTGCAAACAAGCACATCAAGAGGCCTGCCTGATCGCTCGAAACTGTCCACAAATTGGCGGACACTATCCAACGAGGCAAGATCTATGTGCATAATTGTGTAGTTTTCTTTAGACATGCCAGCAGACTTTGCAGCTCTCTCAGCCTTGAGAAAGTCCCTGCAGGCCATGATAACATGCCATTTCCCAGTTTCAGCCAGGGCCTTAGCTGTGGCTAAACCCAATCCAGAGGAGGCACCAGTGATGATAACACTACCCTTTCTTAGGGTTTTCTTTCCATCTATTGCAGATCTGCTGATTGCTGGTGTAGCAGTAGCTGTTGTTTGGGCTCTCACAGCTCCAGTTCTTTGGTTGAATTCCCTCTACAATGAATCAAAAAAAGGTTTAATTACAGCCAAAAACAGCGATGTTGTCCAATCTAAAGAAAAGGATGGTTTTGTGAACCACCTTGCATCTTAATGCGGAAGAGCTGAAGTCAGCTTTGACATGATCTAAGAGTGAAACCCCAAAGAGAGTTGAATCCTTGAAAGATGCACTAGACTTTCCCTGAAAAAGCAATCAACACCCCAAAATGTCAAAACCCACATTAAAACAGCAAAAAACAAAAACCATTTCATCAGTACAAAACTGAAAACACACCTCTTTGGGCACAGAGAAAGTACGTGGAACCAAAGCACCAGCTTGTAAAGCCATTACCAACTTTGAAACTAAAGCTACTCACCCACTTTGAATTGGGTTCTTTAAGACCCTAAAAACTCTTACGGACAGACCGAAGTGAAGCTGAGCTTCGTACTGTAAAGAAGTGTGTCAAACAGATTTGCAGGCATGCATAAATAGGAAGTTACTCTTACTGTGACAAAAGAGCAAAGTTACTGGATATGACAGATACAAGAGGATAAGATAATTAGAAGAGTAGTTTATCTGCCACATCAATTCCATATAGCCAATGAGGCTTCGAGTATTGGATTTCCATTGATAAAAACAATATATTTTTTCCACTTAGTATGGGGATAATTTGGTCCTGTCCCATCAAGGCTGCTCCACCCCCTTTGGTTATGGGCTGGTTTATCAGAGGATTGAAAGGGACAGGCAGTGGTCTCTCGTGGGGGTACAGTGGAATGGACTAGGGGGCTTTTGAATTTGAGTTGGGGTTTTATCAGCTAGGCAATTGGCAGCCCATAGCTAGAAGTAGAAGGGGATTTTGTGCAATATTACGCTCTTTTTACATGTGAAGCAATGGGCTTGGGTCAAGCACAATTTCCTGTCATTGATGCTAAAATTCTTTTACTGATCTTATTCCAACGGCCCTTTGGAGTTCCTTTTCCTGGAGCCTAGAGCCTATCCTATGGAGTCAGGCAAACTTGCAAGTTATAGCATGTAATCTAAAAGTGGGAAAGTAGACGATAGCTTGAAATAAAAATTTGGCTTTACAATAACTACAAAGCAAGCTCCAAAAGATTATTGAAAGAAACTATTAATAAATTTAGAATGTTATGTGACAGTACCATGTGACCTTATCAAATTCATTCAGCATGGTTGGTGGTTGCTGATAATTTAAGGCTCTCAGCTTAAATGCAAATGGCAAATTGGTAGTTTTCACTTTTTTTTTTCTCTTTGGGCCTTACATTTTGGGTTTTTTTCTGTGTTTCCTTATGTCTAAACAAATTTCATTAAACATTAACAAAAATTTTTGTTTCAACTATTATTAACACCATATGATAATTCGAATATTTTTATTGTTTATTTTATATAAAAAACATATAAAATATAAAGTTTATCATATCAATAAATTAAATATAAAACACATTTTTTTTCTATTTTTACCTAACCTATTTATGATTTTTTATCAAAATTTTAAAATATATTACTTCTATGTTTTTTCGTATCATTTTTTTATAATATCATCTAAAATTAACAAATCTACCAAAATCCATATTTTTGGCTTATCTAACAAGTATTGTCATTCTTAACTAAGAAAAGTAGGAAACAATAAAACAAACAAAAGAAAAAGAGCATAATCTCAACTTCAAGTGTTCTTGAGCACAATAAGAATTGACTGATGACAATGAATGAAAAAAAATTTTCATTTTCAATTCAATAAGCTTTCGTTATGATTTCTACATTTCCAACATAAAAAATACATCGATTTTTAAATTCCTAATGTAGTTTTTTTTTTTCTTCTGAAAAAATCTATATTTTCCTCAATGCTCAACTAAAGTGAATTCCTATTCCCCACATCCAATGAGCAAAGGCACAAAGAAAGAAATGAAAATCCCTAATATTACAAATCTCAACCAATATCTCTCTATACATAATTTAACCAAAAGACGAGAAATGGATTGTACTTGAGGTTCCCTACCATCATTCTTTTGGCCTTTTAAATCCGAACCTGTAATCCAAAGTTTTGGAAAGTTTTAATCTCACCTCTAATGTTAGCAATGACATCATCATACCCCAGGTCGACATTGTTGAGTTAACCATAAAGGAAAAGTCCACATTGGTGTTAGGGCTCTTAGTCCTAGTTGTCACAGGAAGTTTTTACTCTAGCCATGTAGTTGAGATTCTGTCAATGAAGTAGCTATTGGTTGCACTAGAAATGGTTCCATGGAGAAGGCTATTGGTGCAACTAGATGCTGATAATGAACCTTTATTTTCATTGCCATGCTATGGATTGATCTCCCTAAACTCCTTCAACCCTTATAAGTGTTGAAAATTTCACTTTCAAGAGGGGAACTAAACCTATAAGCTGTATAACAGATTAGCTAGGTTGGTCTAATATCATATTATAAGTAGATGTGACATCTACTATTATAAACTCTACAATCGAGATAATCGTCTTTGGTTTTGTCCCTAAAGAGATAAAAAACTTGATAGTTCCTCTTACGGGCACATGTTCATTTGCAAACCTTACTAATGTTGTGCTGATCAGCTTCAATTGATCTTCATCAATCCCTATTTTCTTGAAATAGCCATAATACATAATGTTGGTCAAACTTCTGTAATCAAATAAGATTCTTTTGACCACGTAGTTGTGTACCAAGGCTGTGATCACTATGACATTATTATGTGAGTGTTGGATTCCCTCTAGATTTTTCGAACTGAATGAGATCGACTTGTCTCTCTAGTATTTTTCTTTCTTGGCCAAAGTGTCTAATGCTATCACAATGTTTGGGTTAAACTTTTTTTTTTTGGTTGAGGCAGAGCTACCGCCTGTGATTACATTAATCATCCTAGCAATTGACTTGCTATTGTCAACTTGCCCTCTTTTTTATTTGGCTCTTTTTTTTAAACATTCTTTTTTCCCTGATTTGTTCTTCCCTTTCGACCCCAAGTAGGTGCTCTGTGGTCATACCTATAGTCCCTTCTAAACTGGTCTTGTCTTTCCTGACCCACGAATCTTTTCAACTAACCTCGTTTTGTCAGTGCTTTAATCTCATTTTTCAGGTCAACACAGTATTTAGTATTATGGCTGATGTTCCTATGGAAAGCACATTTTTTTGTCGAATCTTGCCTTGTATTATGTTTCAGTGGCTTAGGCTATATGAGATTAGGATTTCTTTTGATTTATATTAGAATCTTTTCACATGAGGTATTCAGTGCAGTATAGTTTCTTTCTCCACTAGGGCTTTTAGCTCTATATTATCTCCCACTTAGGAAAGAATCGTAGAATTTTTTTTTTTTTTATAATTGAAGAAGAGGGATGAACTCTCTCACCTTGGTTTATTTTTATTGTAGCTTCAACATTGATATATTTTTTTGCTATTAGCAAGACATCGACTAGAGTTTTTGGCGGTTCTAGTGACAATGTCAACTTTAAGTGATATTCTTTACATTAAGTCCACTAGTCAATGCAGCAACAGTGACTATCTATTCTAGGTCTTTAACTTGTAGAGCTTTCGCATTAAAATGAGTGACATAACTTTTCAATGTTTCATTTTGCCCTTGGTGAATTGACATTAAGCTTATATTGTCTTTGTAGCTTTTCGGCTACTCATAAATCAAGATAGAAATAAGTGGTTAAGCTCTTTGAATGTGGTGATTGACCTTGCTCCAAACTGCTATACAAGGACTGAGCTGCACCTTTCAAAGTAGTAGCCAGACTTTTGCATATCAAAGCCTCGTCTGCCTTCTGTATTATCATGTTAGTTTTATAAAGTTTCAAATGATTCAAAGGGTTTAGCAGTACTATCATATGTCTCCAAGGTCAGCATTTTTTAATCCTTTGAGGGCATGGCTCTGTTAATGTCTTCGGTAAAAAGTGAGGTCTCCAAGAATTTGAGCTCATCCTCAAATGCCATTGCTTTCATTTTGAGTTTTTTCTCCATGGCTTGTATCCGAGCTTCTAAATCTCTATTCAGCTAAGGTTCATGGTCATTTATTTGGTTGTGGCATGTGTGAAATTATGGCAGGAGCAGTGATGAGTTCGGTTTGTGTGTTCTTCTTTTTTAAAGGTCGAGGAGGCTTCTATCTCTTCGTAGCTCAGTTGTTCGACTACAACTTCTCAGCCCAGCGTGACTAAGTCTGGCACTTTAAAAATTTGTGATGGGGTTATAGCTTGTAACATCTGCTTGAGAGCTTGTATTTGTTCAGTTAAAGCTTGAAATTGCTTTATGGTTGGTCCCGTTTATGGTTGAGTTAGGCAGATAGAATGTTGGCTTAGGTAAGTTTCTATTCCAGCAAAGGTGGTTGTCTCTCATTCCTCTTGGTTTCTTTTTCTTGGTGGCATTGTTTTATTCTCGACTAATATGAAACGTTTTGTCCCTTACCTGGCACACCAAATATTTATGCCGAACTTTGACCTGAGGGCGTTCCTATAAATGCAGAAGAGAATGGCGGTTAAAGGCAAAGGTAGGGGTTGATTCTTATGTTTGCACTCGACGCGTAAGTCAGTAAAGATCAAGTCAGAAAGAAAGTGAGAAAGTAGGAATGAGAGAAAGATATGAATGGATGAACCTAGTTTCATAGTGCCTGAGTCTTCACGTTTATAAGTAAGCTGAAGAGGACAATAAGGATAGAGTTAAGCAAAGATAGCACTGACCATATCAGGTCAAGTCAACGTAAATGATTAAGATGCCCTTAATTATCTGTTGAAAGCTTTAAAAAAAATACCATTATACCCTTTAACCATTATATGCTCATAACAATTTCAATGTTTGATTCAACGATAGATGTATGTATTTTTTGTTTAAGAAGTAAGTTCAATTTCTTTTTTTCTTCAAAAAAAAAAAAGATATATAAATACATTAAAGAATACCATGCATTTTTTTCCATGGTAATAATTCTCCTTGATTTGATTTGAATAGCATGAAGTTTTTGGTTAAGAGCTCCTACATATAATTAATAGTTTCTTTTTCTTCATTCTTTTATTATGTAACTATCCCATCTGCGATTTGAATGCCTTTATAAGTTATTGATTGAAAATTTGTTTGTCATTTACAATAGAACATATTTTAGACATGACAATTGTGTTGCAAAATGTACAACAAAATAAAAATTGGAATAAAACACTAGATACTATTCTAAATTCTAAACCCAATATTGCCATATCTTTAGAAAATAAAATATTATGGAATAGAAACTAATTGGTTAGTGAGTTAAATTTTCACTTGCCTGTCATCAAATTATCATGAAAATAATGGTACAAATTTTTTTATGAAAAAAATTTGTGAATATATAAGTCGTTCATTTCTTCAATATTAAGATAAAATGTGTCATACCTCATAGAGTTCAGTGCATCTATTGTTACAAGATAACAAAATGTAGAACTAAGATGAGCATCAACAGTAATCATCGAAGAAAGGACTCACTGGGCTAAGATCACTAACTAATACTAATAATCCTAAAGTACTAATAAAGAACTTCTAGGCAGCCAAAGTTTCCTAACAGTGGGTAGGTTTTTGCAATAAAGAGAGTTCATTAGAGCAGTAGAAAGGTAGGAGGTTGGGGGACATTTCAGACTCAAAAATTTTCCAAACTTGCTTTAAAGGCTTGCGTGTGCCCTGTACATATGCACAGTTAATTGCAAAGATGAGGAAGAGGAAACAATAGACCAAAATGCAGTATCGAAGTTGGGAAGTTTGACATTTTCTAAAGGAAACAACCGGTTGGTTTTTACTGCTAATGGAAGCCTTATATCCTTTCGCCCGGCAACAGAAAAAGTATCTAAGAGGTTTTAAGACTTTGGAATGTAACTACATGAAAGAGACCAATGACGTTCGTAATTGTTGCTTTTTTTTTTTTTACTATGGTAATAGGGGATAGCCGCAAGCTTTTTACCTTTTAATGGGATTTGGGGCTAGATGTGAAAACAGTATATGAATTTGATAAAATTAAAAAAAAAATTTTATATTTGATGTATCGATAAAAATTATGATACAATAATTTTTATATTTACATTTGTTAGACACGAAATATATAAATATGAATATTTATGTCACTAATTATGACACAAATACTCAAATTGCCAAATTTAGAGACATGAACATTTGAACTAAAGTTTAAGGTTTAGTCTTGTTTTGATTGTGCTGAAATATAATTTAGGGTCTTGAATTTCATGTACGGAATTATAAATGTTCTATAAGAACTTGCTTAGGAGCACCTAACAAAGTATTTCCTGGTGGAGTTATGTCAATTACTTGCAAGACAAGGAATAGTGAGAGTGATCAAAACTCGACTCCAATTTGACTCCAGAGTCCAGACCATCAATTAAGTAAATGTCCATGGAAATCTTAAGTATGTTGTAGGTCCTGTGATTTCCTTAGCCATTTGGTGATGAAACTTTTTCAACATTAATTCTGATAATGGTCGAAGAAGGTGATGACTAATCTGTTTCTAAAGAACTTGGATTCTGGTAATCATAAGAAATGGTGAGTAGCACTGGTGGGAATTGGTTTTTATGATTCTTTGGAATGAGAATACATGAAGTAAATATAACCATTCGTATATTCATATCGTGTTTTTGTGTTAAACACATATAAAATATAAAAATTATCGTGTTATTATTCTCTAGCACAAAACGTATATTTTGATTTTTGCCGAATCTTATAGTTTTTTTATTAAAATTTAAAATCGTATCAATTTTATATTTTTTATATTATTTTCTTGTCGTTTCATTTCATCATATATCGTGTCTTAAAACTATGTTCTCCAAATATAGTGGCTTGAATCAGAAACTAGCTATGGGCAAATGAATAGTCTGTCAGATTTCATTTCAATCAACACCATTCCAATTAGAGTTTAAGCAGTTTGAATAAAATTGAAACAGTCCACTTTTCTTTCCTCAAGTAACATATACTCATTGCAGATTGTTTCATGAAAGGTAAAATCCAGTTTCGTTTCGAAATGTCCATACCAATATATCAGTCAAGAACTGGAAAACTGGTAAACAGATAGACCGGCTGAATGGCTCATTTGTTTTTGTATTATGACCCCATGACCTTTCTCAATTCTACATCTATCTGTTACATCAAATGGTGGGATTGTCTGAAATTTTGACAACTGAAACCATCAATTTTGTATCTGTAGTACAATGATGAACAATTACTGGACAATTATGGTATGCCTGGTGGATTTAGAACTGCAGAGAAGGTCAGAATTTAAATGGGAAAATTCAACGCTGGAGAGTACAACAGAAGGATAAATGCCATTGCTGATTTTCCCTTGCTGTTCGAATTGAACCAAGGATAGGTGTTTACTGCGCTGGAGTACTCAATTGGGGACCTCTTTAGAAGCAATTCAAGCATCACACGTTTACTTGTGCAAGTTGGATTCTGATATTAAGAAAAGAAGTAACTAAGCACCAGAGAATTTGACTCAAGGGTTGATGCACATATCTCCTGCTTAAATTAAAGAGTAAGGTTCGAATTCTCCTTCTTTCAAATAAAAAAAAAAAAAAGAAGATAGAAATAATTAAAGAATGAGTATATATAAACAAATTAAGTCAATATCTCTAGGTCTTGGTGTAATGAAGTTTTGTGCCTTCCATTGACTTGAAACAGGATCTAATAAAACACCATTTACAAGGGCTATTATTACTTAACATTATCAATTCCCCACCGGATCCATTTCCATTCTTCACTCTATTCCATTTTCACTGAGTCAAACATATTTTTATTGCCAACACCAGAATCTGATTATATTTGTTTTTATGGTTCCTTAAATGAAGTTTGGGGAGAATATTTAGGCTATGATCACCCTGCTGAATTTGCAGTTACACTACTATCAAGTAGTGATGAAAGAAATTGCTCGAACTAAGTAACACTACTGCACCCCATCGTTAGTCAAGCAGCAGAATGGTGAGCTTGTTTGGTTGGATTCTGCTCACAAGTATCGTGCAGCTCGAACCTGGGATACAATCAGGCATGCCATCATTGTTTAGATGGTTATTCTTGATAGACTTCCTACTAAGCAAAAATTAGGTCTTATCCATCATTTGGTTGGCATAAGCGGCAAAAAGAGTGTGCTTCTCTTATTGTTGCTTCGGTTCTAATTCGTTAGATGCTGTGATAAGGTAATTTCTCATAAATTCGTTAATTCGTTTCGCTCGGAATAGATAAGCTTATTTGGATCGATCTGAAAAGGGGATGTGCTGGATAAAACCTTGGAACCCCTTGCTTTTGTTCAGCCACAGTGAGGCTGCTCCTTATATACTTTTGAGTGCATCTTTTACCTGTAGACATTGGACCTTGAGGGTATAAATTGAGAAGAAAGGGGCCTTCCATGGCTTGGATTTAGTTGTTTAGCAAATAGCAATCCCATTGAAAATCATTTAAGAAATACATAACTGACATTGCATTTCAAATTGGAACACAAACAACAATATTTTGTTATTGATATGTATACAAGAAACTTCAACAAAATTTACGGCATCTTGGAATGGGGAAAAAAAGATAAAATAATGTATGAATTTGACACAAAATACAATCTATCACCTACTTTATCAAATCCTTGGCAGATGAAATGCAACTCAAAAACCAGACAATGGAGTGGCCAAATTGATGGCATAGAGTCCATGTAGTCACATCTACTGCAATAAGATGAATGCCAACTTTCAGCCATGTTTATTTGTAGGTTCCCATACGCACACCGGTCTCTCAACCCTAGGCCTGGAAGCTGTTCTCGCTAGCACTGGAATAGCAAATATAGTAGAACTTATTGACTATGGCAGTTAAGAAAATGAAAGCTGCCCCTGCACCAAAAACTCCCTTCCTCACAGTTTCACAAGAGGGAGGCTGCTCGCTGAAAATGGTCCGGTATTTGGTGTGATAGGCGTTTCTTACCGAACCCGCCAGCAAGCATATCTCAGCAATTAGGAAAAACAACCTGTCACAGCCTCACAGGCAATTTCAAGAATTAGTGAAACAACCAAAACCAAAATTTCAGGTAGTTTGAGATCATTGAAATTTGAAACCAAAGTTACTTTGGTGAAATTCTCAGATACCAGCAGATTATAAATAGGATAACTGCCCAAGTCCTTGAACCACTGGGGTTCAATCCCTTTCCACAGCAGAAGCATCGGCTTGCGATCATTATAAGGGCTTGACTAGCCATAAGGAACAAAAATGCACCAACACCATAGCCTGTTGCTATGTCTGAGTCATAGACACAATAGTTATAATTAACTTCACTATCCTGGACAATCTTGGCCTGCACAAACAAGTCAAAGATACACCATTAATAGTTGCTTTGGATTATCAATCACTTGCCCCCTTCACAGAACTAAATATTCTTCTCAACCAGCCTGATGCCAAATTTATTAGCCTAACACCCAATCCTATGTCGGGATATTATACGATCCACATGAGACAAAATTGTGAGATCTTGGGGTTAAAATAGACAATACCTTGCAGTTTAGATACAGATCTACATAATTAGTCAAAGAAACCCAGAAAATTCATGTCCCCATTGCCGACTGCCAAGGGGTTTAGTAACAAGCTAGTAGTAGTTGGAAGAACATATAATATCAGGTGCTACTTGCTGTGTTCACAAAATATTGCTCCAAAAGATCAATCAGATTTGCTTCTAAATCTACCAAAGACAAGTTCTTTCACTAGATCCACAACCCCCCAATCCCCATAATCTCTGTAAGTTTGAAGTATTGCTGAGAGGAAAAAAAAATTGAGATCTGCCATTTTTATAGAAATCAGATGAGATCCGGTAAGTTTCTACACAATTGAGAATTGTAACTGATAAAATCACATTTCTCTTGCTATTTGATTGCTGAAAGGAGAAGAATATGGAAAATTAAAAAAATATATCAAGCTTGATACTATGTTTTTAAGGCCAAAATCAAGTCATTTCTTTTCTTTCCCTACAATTCTTATGAACAACAAAAGCAGCAGATTTACATGAGTAGCTAAGAATTCTACAACATAAACAGTCAAACATTTGCCAATGTACTTCAAACTTAAACTTCAGTTCTTTACTTTCTTCACGGCTCACCTAAAACCAATTGACAATAGGTGGCAGACTTGAATATATAACCACAACAAACCAGAAAAGAAAAGTTTATTTTCTTTCCCTACATAGAAGCAACAAAAGCAGCAATTTCATATATACAGCTAATAACCCAGAAAACTAAATCAACATTTGCCAAAGTTTTTTGAAGAACAAATTCACTTCTTTGATTTTCCAGCAAGAAAGTAGGAAACTTTCAATAAACCCAGAAATCATATGAGCTTACATAGTCCAAAAAAAGTGCACCAAGAAAGTGAAGGGGAAAGTAAACTCACAGTGCTTCTTCTTTGCTCAGCTGCAACAGCTAAACCAAAAGCAATGAGATCAAGAACAAAGACAGCAATCAAAAGAAGTTTAGAAGCCATGGATATATTAAGCTAGCTTCAATAACCCAACAAGATCTAGCTCCCCCTTTCCTTCTATGTTTCCTGGCTTCTTCCTTTCTCTTTGCTTTGCTCTTTCTTTCTCAAACTCTCCCTCTCTGAATATACAAAAAATCACTATCAGTATTGAAGAAGCAAGGCAAATGATTAAAATGAAGAAAAAATTTAGAAAAACATAATAGTTTTAAAAATGTAATTTTCAGAAGAAAATAACACCCCTTAGCTTGAAAATGGGGTTTTCACCACCTTTTTCAAAAACTCTTTTTAATCACATAAAATATGTTCTTGGCAAAAAAAAAAAAAAAAAAACACAGAATATTTTGAAGCATTTGGTACAATTATAAATTCTTAGTTGCTTTTGATTTATTTGATTAATTTCAAATCAAATTATTTAAAATTGAATCAATTAAAATTTTATTTTATTTTTATTAATTTGAAAAATCTAATCAATCAAATTTAATTTTATTATTTTTAATCAATTAAATAATAAAATATATTGAAATTAAATTATATTTTAAACTTTTAATTTTTTATATTTAAAATAAACTAAGTAAAATCATTCCACATTCAAATACTGAAATATTAAGCTAAAAATTTTAACAATTTATAAAATAAAATACTTTGTTTTGAAGATTTTTTAATTTTATATAATTTTTTTATATTTTAAAATTAAAATTTTATTTAATTCGATTTTTAAAAACATTGGGTCCAAATACTGCAGATTATAGCAGTATGCACAAGTTCGTTGGAGCACGGTTTTTTTTTTTTTTTTTTTTTTGAGGGAAAAGTTGGTTAAAAGGGTAATTCGGTATCTTCAGAAGCTAACGTACAAGAGTTTGAAGCACAAGGTACAAGGTTTGTTGAAGGGAATACTCGTTTGGAAAGTGAAGTTGGTTTGGAAGGCTGCTTTAGGAAATAAACACCCGCCAGAATTAACTGCCTTTTGGAACCTTCAAAAGGAACCTTGGAGTACAACTTTTGTAGCACAGGTACCAACATCTCTAGCTAGTATTGCACACCTTAGATGGAAAAAGAAAAATATTGGGAGGGTGATTTGGTATGTTTAATGAAAAAGAATTGATACCCACTAAAGTAAACTGTGATCACAATGTGAAATTCCATTTTTAACATTTTCTTTTTTTTTTTTCAGTTCTAACATAAAAGCTTCTCATTTCTTATCAAAATTGTTTAGTTGGCAAGTTGATTCATTCGGATGAAGAATTACTGATATGTTCAGGAATTTTCATGGTAGCGTGTGGCATATCCAGCTTTTCTTTTTTATTTCCTGGAGGCAATCCTTTTTTTTTTCTTTTTATTTGGTCAAATTTGGCATATAAAATTATGATATAATACGATAAAATAATATTATGAATAATATTAGATTAAATAATATCATTTTATTTTATATTGATATATGTAAATATTAAGATAAGATAATTTATTTATTTATTTATCAAAATTATTTTTTCTTAACGTTTATATAATTTAAATTATTAATGTAATTTTTAAATGTATAATTAAATATGTAAATTTAATTTCATAGATTAAAAATAATCTTCTTTACTGAAAAAGATTGAATAATCTTATGACTAGAAGAGATTAATCTTTTTTACAATCCTTATCCCTCTATTAAATACAAATCAAATGTGATATAAGATGATTATTATTCTATTCTATCAATAATTTTATGCATTAAAATGACCTAAAAGTCTAAAGTTTAGTTTGTTAATAAGTAAACTTGAGAATTTAAATAAGAGACGATGATACAATATGAAAAAATCCTCAAAAAATACAATTTAAAATTTTAGCAAAAATTATATATGAATTTGTCAAAAACCAAAAAATATGTTTTGATTGATTAAAATTGTACACAATAATCTTCATATTTTATATGTGTTAGATACAAAATAAATAAATACAAATATTCAATTTATCAAATCTACTAATAAATGATAGGCATGGCATACAATCTTTTATTTGTACTCTTTAAAACATGTAGATTACAAGTTAACCATTGGTAACATCTTTTTGAGTCCACCAACTAAGAAAAATTATAGATCTTTTTATGGAAAACAAAAAAAAAAAAAGATTTGATAGCAATTACAAATGATTGAAAAATGACTCAAATGTGTATACAAGTGCAACTGCATATTACAAAAGCAAACCAAAAAGATATGTTTTACCCCTTTCAATATGATATATCAAACAGAGATAAATTACACTATGATTTTTTTACAAATTTTTCTTTTTAACTTTATGACTTTTTGAATGCCATCAACATCAATGGCATTATCGGTGCATTCCACCTAAAGCTCTTTAACTGTAACGTCTTGATCCTAAGTGCAAGAATTCGATATGATATATAAGAAAAGATTTAAATATATACTTGAAAGGTATTTTTTATGAAATAAAATAATAATATTTTAAAATCAACACGGATAATACCTCATAAGATTGATACGGATCTTTAAACAAATAACCAAAAACCTAAAGCAAAAGCATTATGGTATGGCAAGCACATGCTAAGCTGAAGTAAGATAGCTTATGCTTTTCTTTCCAAAGAAAATGAGCTTTTTAAACCCTGTGGAGACTCGCATTCAACTTGCAAAGTATTATTTACTTTGATCTGAAGTCTCAATTTTATCTCATAAAAAATGCTTTACAAGTATAGATTTAAGCTTCTATTTATATATTATAACAGATCTTTAGAATAACCTGATATGGGATTGGGGTATCATAAATTCCTTTGTTAAAATTTCACATCCCCATTAAGCCCAACATAAAAGCACACACAGAACTAAAGAACCGAACACACTATGATGCCTCAAATCACTAACTTGTGACATTAAATCCAACACAAAGTACACACAGAGCCATAGAATTACACACATTGTGATGCCCCCAATCACCAACTTATGAGACATCTTTTGTGAGATAAAATCGTGAGCTCCAATAAAGTCAAAACAAATAATACCTCGCAAGTTAGATACAGGTCTCCACAAATGGTATCAGAATAGTCACCAGTTGGACGAAAGCTAAGTGTTACACCATGAAAATTATCTCTACAATCCCAACATTTTGTATGACCTTGATTTTGTGTTCTATATGTATGGAAACCCACATCTAACATAGAGATATTGTTGGGTTTAACTTGAAAGTTTTATGATTTTATCTCACAAAATCACAATCTCTCTCATTAAAGTTTGCTGTTCTTGTTAAGCCTAACACAAAATACATACAAAACCACAAAACCAAGATCACACCAAACATTGAAATTTTAGATGTGGCTCCTACGATATAACACTTAATTTTCGTCTAACTAGTAATCTCACTTTGATACTATTTGCGAAGACCTATACTTGACTTGCAATGTATTATCTGCTTTGATTCGAAAGTTTTATGATTTTACTTCACAAAAGATACCTCACAAATATAGATTTAAACATCTACTTATATATCATAATAAATTATCAGAATATCTCAATGTGAGATTAGAATGTCACAAACCTTTTAATTACTTTAGGAGAGTTTTCATCACTCTTCCATTTCTTCTTGAAGTGCACCGGTTTCATGTCCATTCCAATCATTTGGTGTCAGAGTTGAGATCTCTACTTTAGAAATCCTACATGACAGATTTTTTTCTTTCATTGCACCGTTCCCTTCAAAATTTTAAGGTGAAAAACTTAACCGTCTTGGTAGGTAATGGTGACAAAAAGCAGTGGTAAATCTAAACTTTTATTTACTGGAATCCACTTATAACATATGTAAATTACTGTTGACAGATTTATTAATTTTATCGATAGAAAAAACATTTGGAAAAAAATTTTGAGAGTCTACGAGAGAAATTTTCGTTTAAAATTTTTTTTTTTTTAATATTTAGGGATTTCCAAAAAAAAATTGGAATACTCAAAAAAAATTCTCCTTTAAATTTTTTTATTTTTCAATTTTTGAAGCATCCCACTATACCATTTACATCCGTCCTTGACGAGGAACAGTAATCTCGGGGATATCTTCATCAAAAATTTCTGGTGCTATTTGACCAAAATTTCCCTTTTAAATAATTTTCATTGTGACTTTGAGTTGAAATTGCAACCAACACCAAATATTATCAAGCAAGTAAAGTCTCCTTCCTAGTTTAAGGAAAACACAAACTAATTTGGCTTCCTATCTTCAAAAACTTTAGCTTAATCATTATGAAATTAGTTTAAAAACTTCAATTTGAATGGTATGAATCAATTTCTGATAAACTCATAGGGTAAGTTATTTTCATGTGCAAATATAATACATTTTCAATATAAATAATTACGTGGAATACACATATGCTAAAATATCTCTTTCTGATCTAATATGAAAAACAAAATAGCAATGATGTTCAAAAATATATATATATACGTTATCATTTATTTTATTGTAACTTTTTAAATAATAAAAATATTATCTTATAGATTATCAATGGAGTTTTATACTTTGGTATCTGCTAGGTTCATCTCTATTTAGTTTACATCCATTAAAGTCAAATTAAGAAACTTAATTATTCATTATATAAATGTAACTTTTATGTCCATAAACTACTAAGAATGCCATGTCATAGTTAAGAAAGTTTTTTTCTCTAATTTTTTTTTCTTATAAACAAATATAAACTTACATTAATATACCCCAATTTCCATATTTTTTTCACGACTTAAGGTACCAACAACCTTGTAATAAATTATTTTTAAAAAAATAGGTGATAGTTTTCGAGTTTTTTCCGATGTTAGGATATTTTAAATTTTTTATTCTTTAATAAGAGTAATTTTAAACTTATTTACCTAAGTAAGGCACTCTAAGCCACATTATCATCTCTTTCCTTCAAGCTTTTCCTTTCTCTTTCTATCTGCTGTGTTTTTGTCAAAAATCTCATGAAGAAAAAGGATTGAAGAAACCCTTGATGTAATGGATTGAACTGAGGGATAAGGTTGAAGTTTTCTTCTTAGGAGATCTACGGGATATTATATATCTTAGGTCCCTCTTCCAGTTTCAAATGATATCTAAATATTTGTTGAAAATTCTTGTTGATTAAAACTTAGATCCAAGAACTCAAGTGTCCATTACGTTTGTTTTAAAGAGACATGTATTTTATTTCTCAAAACATATTGTTTTGGATGGGATTAGCCGTTAGAGGCGTTTAAGTGCGAAGTAGATTGAAGAGAAGTATTTTATTAAGGAATTATG